TTGATTTCTGTAGTTTTATGGCACTCAGCCAATTCCAAATACTCTTTTATGGGACGCTCTCGCGTCCGAGGCTTCCCCGGAGGGGCCCCACTGGAGGTGGGATTTCTGGAGTTTTATGGCTGTTCGGTAGAACAGAAGTAATTGTTTTACGAAATAATTGATTTTTACTCCATCCTGGACCATAAAACCATAAAAAGTGGGTGATTTTTGAAAATTTTGAATTACGGTAATTACAGTAACCGGGTTACGGTAATGAAAATAATATAGAAAGATTCAGCATATTCGATTTAGTCAACTGACCAACTTTCAGATCGATCGGATCAATATTCACGATATTGGGTTACTGTACCCACAGAATTCCTGGACTTGTAAATTTTCACCAAACTTGGTCAATATGCGTTTCCTGATAACCCCTCATGAAATGTACATCATCTGACGCAGAATTAAATGCTGATCACGAATATGGTAGTCATTTTACATATAAATCAAAATTCAGTCATCAATTCGTGAAAAACCGCATATTTCCATGTTTTTTCCATTTTTGGACATGAAGCTTTAGGAAATCTACAATTTCAACATCATTTTTGAATTCAGCATATTAGATTTGATATGTATGCAAGTTTTCAGATCGATTGGGACGATATTCATAATTTTGGGTTACGGTAGCTCTAAAACTACAGTAACCCAAAACGGTATATTTTTAATCGTAACGCCTCAGGGGTTTTTCGGACTCCCCATAAAGTATATATGTATAGATGCGGAATTTTATGCTGAATCCGAATATCACCATGAGATTTCATGAAATGCACGTTGAACAGAGCTATGACGTCATTTATACGATTTTTGCGAATAATGGTCCGATTGAAAAAATTTTCAAAGTGAACCTAGACAGTAACTGTATAGGAACACTGTAAAAATTTCATAACGATTCATTTGATTTTGACCATGTAGGAGCAAAAGTTCGGCGAAAAAAAAGTTTTCGTGAATAACTGCTACAGTAATCGAGATACGGTAACAAAAATGACAGATTCGTAATCAGCGCATCAAACTTAGTCTATGTGCCAAGTTTCATTTCAATCGAACCAGTATTCATGATTTTCAAATTTTACCCTTTTCTGGACTTTGTGAAAATTCGCCAAAAAAAATGTAAAAATTTTGCTCCTGATAACCTTGGGTGTTATTGATATAGATCGACGCAGAATTTTATGCTGATTCCGAATATGCTACTCCCCCTGCATTTAAACCCACTTTTTAGGCCGTTATTTCGGAAAAACCATATTTGGGATTACTGTAGCTACAGTAATCAAATGATCGTAACGGGACCAATTGGATCGTTTTCGCCACATATTATTCTATAAGTGTGCAAATTTTCAGATCGATTGGTGAAAAATTGAGCGAATACGGTACAAAAGTTGGTTTTTGGGTTACTGTAGCTACAGTAATCGGGTTACGGTAATGAAAATATTTTTAAAAAATTCAGCATGTTCGATTTAGTCAGTGGTCCAATTTTCAGATCGATCGGATCAATACTCGCAGATTTAGGTTACGGTAGCACTAGTTTCACCAAATTCGGACCCCTAGGACCCCTAAAAGCGAAAATTTTCAAATATTCGTCAACCCCCACATATTATATATCATTCAACGCGGAATTTTACGTAGAATCCGATGGTGATATTCACTTTTTGATTTGATTGAGCTTTCTCATTAAAATCACTCGCCAAACATGGCAAACATGTTTTTGATCGTAACGCAAAATCGAGGGGGTTTTTCAAAAAACGAGCAACGTCATCGTGTTCAACATCATTTACTTATTCTACAGTAATATTTTGGTAAGATTTCATTGATTCCCTGACCTACAGTACCCCAAAATGTCATAAATGGTACTGTAGCTACAGTAACCGGGTTACGGTAATGAAAATATTTTTAAAATTATCAGCATATCAAATTTAGTCGATCCCCAAAGTTTCAGGTCGATACGATCAATACTCGCAATTTTAGGTTACTGTAGCTACAGTACCCCTCTGGACTTTGAATTTTTCACCAAAATTGGGCAATTTTCATCTCCTGATAACCCCCAACAAAATTAGTCATTTCTGAATCAGAATTTTACGCTGATTCCGAATATCGTGGTCCCGAATCATATAATTCAATATTGACCGATTTCCAAAAATGGAATTTTCGGAAAATTGATCTGGCGCCTCTGGCGCCGACTGTATAAGCTTGATCGGACTAGTTTCCACATATTTTGTGTAGAATTTTTTTCTCTATCGGATAGTATTTTTAAAGTTGCAAAATTTTGAAACCTAGCCGAGTTACGGTAGTTAAAAAAATCACTTTTCGGCATGCCCTAACATGGTCAAATTTTAACTTTTTTCCATACTTTAAAATCTTATTCCTATTAGTTTTTTATGCTCTTTCCGAATATGTAACAATATTTGGGGGGTATAGTACAAATTTTTCGAGATCCGGAAAATCACGATTTTTCAAACGGCTCTAGCTCGATGGGGAATATGCGCCCAAAAACTTTTTATTGCAGTTTCTGATGCGCCTTTCCAAGCTCTATCTTTTGTATACCCTCAGAGCTCACAGATCGTCAGGAATTAGTATACCTACTTTGCAAAATAAAACTTTGACTCAAATTTTCATATCGAAATTTCCATTTTTGGCTCTTGACATGTTCAGTAAGTTTATAGAGCATAAAATTCTCTATCGAATGGTTTTTTAAATTTTTGGATTCGGCCATCTGCGGACGGTTCCCGGGTTGTCAAACTTTTTTTTCGTTTTTTATCCATAACTCCGCCCCCGATAAAAATTTTCGAACCGGAATGGTACCATTAGATGCGGCTCGAGTTTAGACACATTTCATCTTGTATACCCAAGAACGTGGGACCCCACTTTTTGGGTGAAAAATTCGAAAAACATCGCTCTCTGAACAAATTTTTTCGTTTTTTGCTTGTCCGTCGCACATACTTTCGAATATCCGTCCAAGACAAAAAAGGGTTGTAGATTTTTAACTAGCGCATCTTTTAGACCCTATAAGTTGGGTTTGAAAATTTTTCATTTTTGATCTACGTGACCTCAAACTTTTCAATTCCATTTTTGGTAGATCAAAAATTATTTTTTCGCCATGCTTCCTTCAGCAACCTTGTAGTAGAAGGTTTGCTCTATCCAATAGTGTTTTATTTTTTCAGATTCGTCAATTAGGGTCCGAGTGATGACGTGGCAAAAATAACCACTTTCTCAGCTTCATCCTCCAGCTTTTGCTCATCCAATCACCTCATGTGATATACCATTCGATGCGTCTCGACGAGCTCTACACGCCATTTGAACATCATTTTGCGTGATTCCAACGTTTTCACGTCGAAAAGTGCCAAAAACCTCGAAAAATGCGAAAATGCCAACTTTGAAGCATCATTAATCTCCAAAATGACGTTAAAAAATTTTTCGCGTCAAACTATACCTTCCTTATTTGACGTGTAGAATCGAATCAGCTAGTTTTCATATGGGGGAGTCAATGCCGTTTTTTCTGCACTGCAAAAATTTGACCTTTTTTGGAATTTTTAATCATATCATTATCACTTGAGAAATTTCTAGTATATACCATTCGATAGAGCATAAAATTCTGCATCGAGTGGTACCGGTTTCATCCGGATCCATTAACATTACGACGCGTTACAATCGCGAGAATGCGAAAAAGCTCAATTTTTCAATTTGGCATAACTCTTCAGGAAAAGCTCAGATCAAAAAATCGTTCCTGAGAAAGATGTAGGTATTTGGATGCTCTATCGATTCATACCGGTCTCGGGGCTGTAGTATCAAAACCCGCAAAAAAGTGAATCTGGCCCAATTCCAAATGGCGCGGTGCTAAGCCCGCGCCCAAGCTTATGTTTACCCTAATTATCAGCCGTTTTGTTCTTCCGAATGGCGGAAACAAAAATGGAAAGCTTTTATATAGTTGTTTATATAAAAAATGAATAGAATTCAATGCAAATCACATTATTGCCATTGACATTCTCATTGAAAAAAAATTGAGATTTGTTTCATCGAGGCAACCCGGCCATTAAAAGCATTACAGCGTCGGCCCCGCCGGGGGTTCTGCTTATATAAATAGAAAAGCCAATTTCAGGAGAGTTTGATTTGAAGGATGACAAAAAAATTTTGAAATTAAGAAGTGCGTGAAAATCTCTTTTGATGTGTCATTTTACGGAAAAAATCAAATCCAAAATGGAAATGTAATTAGCCGTTTCAACACAAATAAATATTAGCCGGTGATGACTAAAAAAGAGATTCATAATTTTTACACATTCGCTATTTTTAATGGAGAAAAAAGGACATTCAATTAAAAAAAAATATATTGAAAAATGCAAGACGTCTCAAACGAAAAGTGGAGAATAAAGTAGAAAAATATGAATAATCGAACGCACAACATTGTTCACATTTTTTTCTGTTTCGCGAGAAAAATCGATAGACGAATGAGACGCGAAAAAAAAAAACGTCTCGCGTTTCTTTCGGCTTTGTTCTCTTCATTTCGAGGCGAAATTGATTAGTGTGACGTTTTGTGAATAATGTGATCGAGAAAGGAGCAGAGACGAGAGCTGGAGTCCAATGAAAACATCGAGACAACAAATGAGTCAGATTGTCGATGCATGTAATAAGGTACAATTTTGTTCATATATTATTGCGTAAATTGAGAGAAGCAGGAAAAAGATGACATATGGGGGGAAATTGATGGAAAAGAGTAACACTAGTTATAGATTATTGAACGTTTCTTTTTTTTGATTTTTTGTATTGTCGGCGTCAAACGACTAATTGGATTCTGGGGCCTTCAAATTTGCGAAATCATTGTAGATTAAAATTTTTCGTTGACTGAAAATGAAAGGCGCGTACGCTATAATGCAATGTACGCAATCTCGGTGCCTCGAGACGCATTGGCGCATAGCCAACAATTTTTTTTAAATTTCGTCAAGTCGTTTGACTTCGACAATACAATAATATCAAATTTAATACAATGATAGGAACTCTTCGAGGTTTTTCAGTCGACCCTCTAACGAGTCAATCTTTTTCTGCATTTCGGCGTTGTCTCGCTCTAAACTGGCCACCTTCTCGCTCAGATCCTCTCGATTAATCTCGTTGACACGCAGCTCGACGACTTCTTCGAATGCTGCGTTCACGATCGACTCGATTGCCTTCAATCGAATTTCTTCATTGTAAGTGTTCTTTCGAATGTTTCCCGATGCGAACTGCACCATTCTGTTCGTCACTTCCATCTTTTGATCGGACCTCTGCAACTGCTCCTCGAGACTTTCAACTTTCGTTTTTAAGCGCCGATTTGAGTCTTCTAATGCGGCGATCTGTGCTTCGTATTTTGCAATTCGAGCTTTCCTTCTGAAATAATGGCAAATCAGATTTGAATTCAAAATTCCAAAAGCGACTTACCGCTGCTCGAGTCTAGCGACAATCTTGTCCACTTTCAGCAAGACCCTCGGATCGTTTGGGCCGTTTCTCACCGATTCGACGTCTGATTCGGTCTCGTCCACGTTCTCTTTTCCATTATTGCTGCTCCCATCCATCGCTATTTGGTTGCAGAGCCTTTTGAACTGCTCCTCGAATTGCTCCGACGTCGAGCACAAGTTTCCAAGCTCTTCCAGTCGAATGTGCCAGTTCTCGTTGTCGATGCAGAAACCATTGACTTCCCGACACAAAACTGTCGAGCTATCCGTTCCGGCAAATTCTGCAAAAAATTTTGAGTGGAAAAAGCCCAACGAAATCGAAAAATATTTTTTACCATCGTCCATGCTGAGGTGCTCGAATGATGAGCTTTTGCACGAATCAGAGCTCGACATTTTCGTTTTTCTAGAAATCGCGATAATTAATTTTTTTTAAGTGACTAAAAAACGAGGCGAAACACAATAGACCACCATTCGCCAAATGCGTTACGGACCACAATTTAGAATGGCGGGTGCAGCTGACCTGATCGATATGACCTGATGGCGTGCCGACGCGATCTTGTCTAGCGTGTGCTCTCTCGCCGAATACGCTGTAAACTTGACTAGCAAATAGCGCGACGGGACTGCGCGGCAACCTTGTGTCTTTTTGAGATAGCGAGATTATGTGATTGAAAACGATTCACAAATTGCGCAATTCACTCGAAAAAATTTTTTGTGGAATTTTATCAACTTTGGAAAATTGGCTAAAAGCCAAAAATATTCAGAAGAGGTGCGCCTTTAACCTATCCTTATACATTGGCCCGTAAATCTACACTTTAGTTTTGTGCCAAGACCATTGCCATTCCTTTTTCGGCAAATTGCCACGTCGGCAATACTTTTGACAGAAAACCTACGTAATTTTGTAGAAAATATAATGAAGCTCAAAAAACTAAAAAAAAAAGAAACAATGAAAATTATTTTTAAATAAGTTTTTTTTAGTTCTTCGAGTTTTCTTCCAAAAATCTGAACATCATGGTATTATTTTCTCAAATTGTGTGTCAGAGCGAGGCTTATTGATTTGAAGCTGAGGTAGGATGAATAAAAAAACGAATTTTGATAAAATAATTTTCTTGAAGCTGATTGTTTTTTATATGGAAATGATTTAATATTAGATAATATGTGATAGTTTCAGTTAATTGAATATCCAAAAAATTAGAGGCAAATTGAAACTATTTGAATTCGGCGTGAAATTAAAAATTCTTGTGTGCGAAAATTAATCTTGTCAACAACAAACCCGGAAAATCAGGAAATTTCGGGAAAACTGTTTCCATCTGAAAATGAATATTAAATGTTTTTAAAGTTTCTTACATGCGCATTTAAATATCTGTCGAAATACATATTTTTTTTTTGAAAAATAAACACACTTCCGTCAATTTTCACTGAATATCGAATGAGTATATTATTTTAAGTTTGATTCGTAGTACACTAGACGAAATTCCACTGTTCAAATATAAATTTGAATTACCGCTCCAAAAAAAATGAACGCTGGTCCACAAATACTCAGGGTTCTCATTTTTGCGATGGAAATACTTTAGCGGTAAATTGAAATAGTGAACACAGCGAATGCTTGAAAACTAGCGGTGTTGAGTTCGCTTCTCGTTGTTGCGTTCGCCTGACGCAACGCATGAGAGACGAAGGTGAGCAGAGGACGCCGCGAGATTCGAAATTATTCTTTTCGTCGGCGATCCGAGTGATGCGAAACAAAAAAATGGATGAGAAATGCATAATTTTAGGGGGTCGGTTTCGACTGCCACCCGAAATTAGAAGATGTTAATTGGAATTGATCGCTAGCCCCACAATACATAAGAAGGCTATGGTTGTATGATATCATGGTAGGTATCAACAATGTAGACAAATGCTAGTTAGCCGATCGGATACAGTTTTCGTTTTTCCGGTCGGCTTGAAAAAAGCAAACTATTGCACTTTGAAAATCTTATTTTTGTCGGGTTTTCCCAAAAATAAGAAAATAGATTTTAGAAAGAATCGGTCGCATTTTTTACATTTCTGTTGTTAATATTTTTTTTTGATTGCCGAAGACTTCATTGACCAGATATTGAGTACAATTAGTGAGAAATTTTACTAGCCCAAATAATGATACTTCGAAATTTTTAATGAGCCGCTTGGATCGGCAGTAGTCTGGTCTGATTCGTATTTTTTTTTTTGCAGAATTCAGGATCTCAATTTTGTCGATTTTTTTAAGTATGGTATAGTCGGCGTCCGGCGACTACTGTACGCGGGTAGATTTACGCGCATGCGCCTTGAAAAGGTCTCGCAACGCGTGAATTCTTATTTTGCTGTGTTCACGTGAACTGCTACATTCCCGTAAATGTACCCGCGTACAGCAGTCGCCGGACGCCGACTATTTTGTGTTTAAAATACTCAAATAGGTTTCGATTTTATTATATTTTGTTTTGCAATGATATAATAATTTTTGGATTACTCGAGACACCAAAAGCGATAGGAAAATTTTGATAATTTACGGAAAAAAATGACAATTAATATGTTGGATTATGCGAATTTGTGGATTTCAGACAGGTGAAAAAAACTATTAAAAAATTACAAATGTCAAAAGCAAATAGTTTATCTACCCTAAGGCTAAGCTTATGTTTACCCTAATTATCAGCCGTTTTGTTCTTCCGAATGGCGGAAACAAAAATGGAAAGCTTTTATATAGTTGTTTATATAAAAAATGAATAGAATTCAATGCAAATCACATTATTGCCATTGACATTCTCATTGAAAAAAAATTGAGATTTGTTTCATCGAGGCAACCCGGCCATTAAAAGCATTACAGCGTCGGCCCCGCCGGGGGTTCTGCTTATATAAATAGAAAAGCCAATTTCAGGAGAGTTTGATTCGAAGGATGACAAAAAAATTTTGAAATTAAGAAGTGCGTGAAAATCTCTTTTGATGTGTCATTTTACGGAAAAAATCAAATCCAAAATGGAAATGTAATTAGCCGTTTCAACACAAATAAATATTAGCCGGTGATGACTAAAAAAGAGATTCATAATTTTTACACATTCGCTATTTTTAATGGAGAAAAAAGGACTTTCAATTAAAAAAATATATTGAAAAATGCAAGACGTCTCAACTCTGGTAAATGATTCCTAGTCGTATACGAAAAAAGCGAATTTCTTCATCGTATAAGATAAAATTAAAATCGTATACGTTAATGGTAATCGTATAAGTTAATGTGAATCGTATAGGATCGTATACGATTCTGATGAATGGTTTGTAATCGTATACGAAACATCCGCATTTCCTCGTCGTATACGTTATTGCAAGGATCATATACGATTTGGATTTTATCACAGTAGTGTAACCACCACAATGATACACTGCGGACATGCATTAAAATTGACGTCTAAATTCGAAAAACAATTTTCGAAAATTTTCGAATTTTTTCATATTCGATTTTTATGCGTATATTGCGTTTTAATATATATACTTTCCAAAAAAATCGTGCATTTTACTGAAATCATGGAAAACATATATAGGGAATATCGGAACGAGACGGAAACAGGTGATAACAACAGAAAAAATGAAGAAAATAACTATTTTCAGAAAATAGAGATACTTCAACCTTAACATCAGGTATAACTAAAAGTAAAAACAGAGCAAGATTTAATTTCTATAGATTCTGTAGAATCGTCTGAAGATGAACTCACTTGCGCGGAAGAAGATTTTGTGTCAATGTCGAGCTGTGACAACTTGCAGACAGTCATTACGTCGAGAGGTTGTTACCGTTTTTGCATATTTTTGAAATTATTTCGCTTTAGGCCAATGGGAAGCATTATCTTCGCGAGATTTACTGTTGATTCACTTTTTTTTGACTTATACTAGCTCAAAAACAGGTTGGTTGAAGAGTTTTTAACCATTATCATAATTTTCAGCGATCATTCGTTATTTTGAAATGGAAGAAAATCGAAATGAAGTTGAAATAAAGAAAATTTTGCTGGAAAATGCCAAGCAGACAATTATCAATGTGTGTGGAAACTGTGGAAATGACAATGAAAAGTAATTTACGTGTGTTGATATTTTTTTAAATTGTTTTTGGAGAAATTCAATAGCAAATAACATGATATTCAGATGTACTTGCGCGATTGGTTATGTAAATGCCGAATTATGTTTTTCCGATTTAACGGAAAGATTTCAATCATTTATACAATTGAATTCTAAGAAAATATTGCAAACTCGAAATAAAATTTTTCAAGATGAGCCATGCTCGTCTCCAATGGCTGAAGGGATTCTAAAGAAACGACTTCTAAAAGAAATCGAAAACGATAACCAAAGAGTCATTGTACATTTCATGTGTACATTTGATGGCGTAAAGCTGAGGAGAAATGAAAGGCAAACCATTTCGATAAATTTATTTTAAAAGAATGTAGTTTTAGTCGAAAGTGCTGGCCTTTTTCTATTCAATGTTTGGATTTCGAAGATAACGATCGTGCCCGAACTAGCTCGATTATAGTATCGTCTATTTATCTAAGTAAGGTGGACCCGTCTTCATACATTCACGATCGAATCGTAAAGTGGGTGATCAACAGCTTTTCGACGCCGTACCATCATAATGGGATTTGGTATCAAGGAGCTCTTGTTGCTGGCTCGCATGACGATCCCGTGAGTTGATTTTTTTCCTTTAAAAATTCCCATTTGTAGGCTAGAAGAAAGGTATATGGCTTAAAGGGTCATTCGTCAAAGGGGGCCTGTGTATTCTGTTTAAACCAATCAACTTTCGTGAAAATCAATGATGAGAGCGTCAAAGGTCTGTTACTTTTATGATTCTAAAACAACTAAATGTAGACCGTCACGAGTATGGGGTCCGAGTACCTCTTAATTTGGAAGACGGATTAATGCAAAAAGGAAAACACACTTTTTTTAATTCGATTATTCCAATGTGGGAGTCGCCAATTGATTCATTTCACTGTTTTGAAGAAGGTATATTCAAAAAAATAATTAAAGGTATTTATAGTTAACTTTCTGTTTTTATATGTTCTTTTCAGAAGTATTCGGAAATGAACGCCGTTATAAAGTATTCGAAGGTTGTCGCTTGATGTTAAACACGAGCATTCGAACACCCTCAAACTTTCGTTCAATTTCTGGACGGATTCATGAAATTACAGGTTGCGAAAGGACTGTGGTAACAAAAGCTATATCATTTCGCAAAAATAATAAGTTTAGATCTTCGAATCATCGCTGGTATCCGCTGCATTAATTGGAAGGCTACCTGCTGATGCTTCACTGATAATCCTCCTATTCCATTGTTTATATCGAACAATAGTATCTCCGATGTCAATCGGTGACAAGAACTTATACGATACGGTGAGTGAGGAGTTAGTTTCATTACAGTCGGCTTTATATTTAGGTATCCAATATTTGCAAATGTATAAAAATAACGCTAAACCGAGTATGTCCCGAATTTTATCGCGGCGCGAAAGTACATGTAAATCAGTTTAAAATTGAAAGCATTCTAAGTGTTTTTTTTTCAGCAGATTGTATTCCACTTATCTGAAAACGTTCGAATGTATGGGAGCCCGTATCCGTTCAGTACCCAATCCTCCGAGCACGTATATCACAGTTTGAAACGACTATTATCGTCAGAAATCACAAAGGGAATTGGGCAAAGAATGTTGCGGAAGTATGCTTTATTATAAAATTGTACACCGTAGAAAAATTTTAGTGCTGCAATTTTGCAAGATTTGACGACCGATGTTCGTGCAAGACTTCATTCGGACCCAACGACAAAACAACATGATGTGTCTATCGTGAAACTGAGAAAACTGCTATTTCGATATTCGGAGAATGATGATATCGAAAAAACGACAGATGTCCCACTGAAGTACTCAATGCTGGCTCAAAAAGGCGATTTGTTTACTGAGAAATACAGCTATCAAGGCTCACACTACTCAATACAAAGAAATACTGCTTCGGATAATAGCGTCGTGATGTTTCGTTGGCGAAATTCACTGCAATATGGCGATGTATTGGGATTTCTCCTCAATGAGAAGTTCGGTGACCGGGTTATTCTACAACCATACATTCTAAATACAGACAACCTATTGCAATTAGCAAACTCACTCCATCAAAATTTTCAAAAAGAAGAAATTAAGCAATGCATTTCGACAATCGGTTCATGCAGATATGGTGCTGTGGTGAGAAATAAAGGTTCTCTATTTTGCTTGCCAATTTCTAACCTTATTGGCTACGCCATCACAGTTCCTGACAATGGAATCACGACTGTTTTACCATTTTCATTCAGACCTATGCTATCTTGAATAAAGTATTTATTGATCATTCAGTGATATATTAGAGTTTATCCGTTAGTCACGGTTAACTTATCTAATTTCAGTTAATACACACTTTTTTCCGATTATAATTTTGTTAAGGATGTCAAAGCGCACGCAGTCATTTGTAAAGCAAATAATTGAAGCGAACGCCTCAAGAAGAGAAATTAAAGAAACTCGTCCAAAATCCAAAGCAACATCGCATACCAATACCAAACGCAATTTGGTTTTACGACAAACTGGATTGCAAACGGTAAAAATGCTTGAATGGTTAAAAAAAATAGTGTTCATATTAAGGCTGTCGTTGACGGAGAGCTCATCGAGGAAGAAGTCGATGAAAATGAGCTGTACTTCGAAGACTATCGTCAAAACGAGCTGGATTTTGGAAGCATCGAAGGCATTCAGGTTGACGATATGCCAAACGACCAACCAGCAAGGAAGCGTAAAATTGTGGTGGGATTTTACATCTTTTTCCTGTTTTCGAATCTTCATTATTTTTAAAGAATGGTTTATGCCCATTAGAACTTGGCGAGGATCTGTATCATTCGACTCCGGAGGAATTGATCGACTTGAAAGTAATTCAAATTTTAACATTCCACTTTAACGCAAATTTACAGAAGACTGTACATACCAATCTCTCTGGAACGTTTCAGTTCGATCATACGAACGTGGATCAATTATGTTCTTCGTCCGATGATCATTTGAGGACAATTGCCTTTGCCATGAAAGGAATCATGTTCACGGTATGTTTTATTTATTGTTCAATCATTCCAAATGTAATGGTACCAGATTTCGCAAAAAAACAGATAAAATCATCAAAAGCCGTAAAAAAAATATCAGAACTCGTCAAAACCGGCAAAAACCCTTATAATTATGGTTACCGCTGTTTGAGTTTTTTTTGCGAAATCTGCATAGTACCACAATAGAAACTATAGAAACCCTATTCTTCCAGATAGAAACTTTATCCCAAAAATTCGCGGCAAAGCCAAACAAAAACAATGTGAGTATTTTTTTAAATTTTGCTATTCTCTAAATTTAGATCGACGTGATCGCCGTATACAACCCTGAAGCTCTTAAAGACGCAGAAATAATTATTCGATCACTGGATGGAAATGGTGGGTTTTTTGTGTTTCGAAAGCTTTGAATTTGTATTAAATCTTTTAACAGGAGACATCAACGTGGCCCAAATATTTTTGGAAATTCCGTTCATGAAGGCAGCTCTGAAGCATGTGATAAATACTACTGTCAACAGATTTGTCGATAAGGTATCTTACAATTATTTAAAGGTGCAAAAAAATACCTTCAGACAATTCCGAATAACGATCGTGTGAATTATTCAACATCGTTTAAGCCAACGCCGCCGCACGCAACGCTTCCAGTTCGGTTTGTCAACACAGCGATTGGTATGCTCAAATAGCGCGAAAAATGTTTAAAATATGTTTAAATTAATTTCAGCTGTTTTACAAAAGACGGTTACCATCGCTGGAATGGCTGACGAAACGGCGAATTCTACAATCTCCTATTTGGTACACGGTCATATGACCTATCTCCTGTGAGTTTTCACTTTTTTAGTGGGCCTATGCAGATTTTGAAAAGAAACGCAGTAAAAACCTTTTAAAGAAACTCGACAACATTATAAAGATTCGGCTAAACTAGTCTTAATCAGATTTTTTGCGTTTTTCTCCAAAATCTGCACATGCTGAAGACTGCCTCATGATTAATCATTCAAATGAACTTAATTCAGAAACAATTCACGATCGAAAGCGCGAGCAGTGGAAAAAATGGTTGATGCGCCAACCAAAATTAATTTATTTATTCTTTTTTCTTTTTCATTTTTTTGTCTTTCATATTTTTTTTTAATAAACAGGTATAGAAATCTTTACATCATATAAAAACGTTAAAATGCCAAACGAGTAGTGTAAAGTGAAATGGTATACGAAAAAAATCTCAATCGAATACGAAAAAATCTCAATCGAATACGAAAAAATCCCAGTCGAATACGAAAAAATCCCAATCGAATACGAAGAAATCGTTACCGTATATGAAGAATTATAGTCGTATACGAAGAAATCACAATCATATACGAAGAATTATAATCGTATACGAAGAAATGCCAATCGTATATTAAGAAATCCCAATCGTATTTGGCCGCGTTTGAAGAGCGATATCAGCGTATACGATTGAGCTTTCTTCGTATACGACTCGGAATCATTTACCAGAGAAACGAAAAGTGGAGAATAAAGTAGAAAAATATGAATAATCGAACGCACAACATTGTTCACATTTTTTCTGTTTCGCGAGAAAAATCGATAGACGAATGAGACGCGAAAAAAAAAAACGTCTCGCGTTTCTTTCGGCTTTGTTCTCTTCATTTCGAGGCGAAATTGATTAGTGTGACGTTTTGTGAATAATGTGATCGAGAAAGGAGCAGAGACGAGAGCTGGAGTCCAATGAAAACATCGAGACAACAAATGAGTCAGATTGTCGATGCATGTAATAAGGTACAATTTTGTTCATATTTTATTGCGTAAATTGAGAGAAGCAGGAAAAAGATGACATATGGGGGGAAATTGATGGAAAAGAGTAACACTAGTTATAGATTATTGAACGTTTCTTTTTTTTGATTTTTTGTATTGTCGGCGTCAAACGACTAATTGGATTCTGGGGCCTTCAAATTTGCGAAATCATTGTAGATTAAAATTTTTCGTTGACTGAAAATGAAAGGCGCGTACGCTATAATGCAATGTACGCAATCTCGGTGCCTCGAGACGCATTGGCGCATAGCCAACAATTTTTTTTTAAATTTCGTCAAGTCGTTTGACTTCGACAATACAATAATATCAAATTTAATACAATGATAGGAACTCTTCGAGGTTTTTCAGTCGACCCTCTAACGAGTCAATCTTTTTCTGCATTTCGGCGTTGTCTCGCTCTAAACTGGCCACCTTCTCGCTCAGATCCTCTCGATTAATCTCGTTGACACGCAGCTCGACGACTTCTTCGAATGCTGCGTTCACGATCGACTCGATTGCCTTCAATCGAATTTCTTCATTGTAAGTGTTCTTTCGAATGTTTCCCGATGCGAACTGCACCATTCTGTTCGTCACTTCCATCTTTTGATCGGACCTCTGCAACTGCTCCTCGAGACTTTCAACTTTCGTTTTTAAGCGCCGATTTGAGTCTTCTAATGCGGCGATCTGTGCTTCGTATTTTGCAATTCGAGCTTTCCTTCTGAAATAATGGCAAATCAGATTTGAATTCAAAATTCCAAAAGCGACTTACCGCTGCTCGAGTCTAGCGACAATCTTGTCCACTTTCAGCAAGACCCTCGGATCGTTTGGGCCGTTTCTCACCGATTCGACGTCTGATTCGGTCTCGTCCACGTTCTCTTTTCCATTATTGCTGCTCCCATCCATCGCTATTTGGTTGCAGAGCCTTTTGAACTGCTCCTCGAATTGCTCCGACGTCGAGCACAAGTTTCCAAGCTCTTCCAGTCGAATGTGCCAGTTCTCGTTGTCGATGCAGAAACCATTGACTTCCCGACACAAAACTGTCGAGCTATCCGTTCCGGCAAATTCTGCAAAAAATTTTGAGTGGAAAAAGCCCAACGAAATCGAAAAATATTTTTTACCATCGTCCATGCTGAGGTGCTCGAATGATGAGCTTTTGCACGAATCAGAGCTCGACATTTTCGTTTTTCTAGAAATCGCGATAATTAATTTTTTTAAGTGACTAAAAAACGAGGCGAAACACAATAGACCACCATTCGCCAAATGCGTTACGGACCACAATTTAGAATGGCGGGTGCAGCTGACCTGATCGATATGACCTGATGGCGTGCCGACGCGATCTTGTCTAGCGTGTGCTCTCTCGCCGAATACGCTGTAAACTTGACTAGCAAATAGCGCGACGGGACTGCGCGGCAACCTTGTGTCTTTTTGAGATAGCGAGATTATGTGATTGAAAACGATTCACAAATTGCGCAATTCACTCGAAAAAATTTTTTTGTGGAATTTTATCAACTTTGGAAAATTGGCTAAAAGCCAAAAATATTCAGAAGAGGTGCGCCTTTAACCTATCCTTATACATTGGCCCGTAAATCTACACTTTAGTTTTGTGCCAAGACCATTGCCATTCCTTTTTCGGCAAATTGCCACGTCGGCAATACTTTTGACAGAAAACCTACGTAATTTTGTAGAAAATATAATGAAGCTCAAAAAACTAAAAAAAAAAGAAACAATGAAAATTATTTTTAAATAAGTTTTTTTTAGTTCTTCGAGTTTTCTTCCAAAAATCTGAACATCATGGTATTATTTTCTCAAATTGTGTGTCAGAGCGAGGCTTATTGATTTGAAGCTGAGGTAGGATGAATAAAAAAACGAATTTTGATAAAATAATTTTCTTGAAGCTGATTGTTTTTTATATGGAAATGATTTAATATTAGATAATATGTGATAGTTTCAGTTAATTGAATATCCAAAAAATTAGAGGCAAATTGAAACTATTTGAATTCGGCGTGAAATTAAAAATTCTTGTGTGCGAAAATTTATCTTGTCAACAACAAACCCGGAAAATCAGGAAATTTCGGGAAAACTGTTTCCATCTGAAAATGAATATTAAATGTTTTTAAAGTTTCTTACATGCGCATTTAAATATCTGTCGAAATACATATTTTTTTTTTGAAAAATAAACACACTTCCGTCAATTTTCACTGAATATCGAATGAGTATATTATTTTAAGTTTGATTCGTAGTACACTAGACGAAATTCCACTGTTCAAATATAAATTTGAATTACCGCTCCAAAAAAAATGAACGCTGGTCCACAAATACTCAGGGTTCTCATTTTTGCGATGGAAATACTTTAGCGGTAAATTGAAATAGTGAACACAGCGAATGCTTAAAAACTAGATGAAAATACTCAAATTGATTGTATAATTCATATGGAGAATTACGAAATAGGCAAAACCTCGAAATGTGAATTCGCAAGAGAAATGAAAGGTCAATGCAGTAATATTTTCAATGTTTGAGCGAAAATTTTCAGATCCAATACTATTTTTCGCTTCAAAACTTCCATGTTCTTTGCATTTTTTGGTTTATTACTATTTATGTATATTCAATTCATAATAAAATAGAATACAGAAAATAATGAATAAAGATTTTTTTAATGCAACAAAATAGAAAAATAGTTATTTTTCCTTATTTATTTTCGTGCATTATTCCTTAATATATGGTCAAGAGTAATGAGAATATGGGTTAGTTATTCATAGAGTATGGACTAAGAATTTCATTCAGGCGCCCACGACCGTGAATTGTTTGCCATGACATTTTTTTTAATGTTCTATCATACTACGGTCTAACAACTCACAAAAACCACTTTTAAAGGTTTTTCCACACAAGATTTGCGGCGGAAATTCAAACATTCAAAAAACGGTGCCTCGAATTCATTCTACCAAGAAATTACTACATATTTGTTCTTTTACCATGCGGGCAAATAACGGACCGCCTGAATGAAATCCAAAAATGGAAAATGATGAGAAAAATTAGGACATTTTTCCTTGATCGTCGTATGGGTGTCGGCTGCTTCCTTGCTCGTTTTTGACTAGTTTGATGCGCCAACGTTGAGAGATCAGAAAATTGAAACATTCAGCATTTTTCTTTGTATCTACATATGGACATACCGTGGCAGGATCGCCATTATCGAGAATCCGAATGTCGTGAAGAAGTCGCTGTCTCACCACCTCGTACCGATTCTGGATCATGCTCGCGAGATTCTGCGACTTCTCGTAAATCATCTGCTGCGTGTTCTTGATCTCATGAAGCTTGTTCATCGCATCAATGACAAACTCGAAATCCTTTTGCACTTTCACACGGATCTGCTGAATCATGTCGGGTCCTTCGTAGATCTTTCCAGCCTGCTTCATCTCCTCTCCCTTCATCATCAGTTCTCGTTGGATTTCCTCGGCGCGCGTTTCGATTCGCCGATGTTCCATCTCCAATCTTGCCATCTCGTCGAGCATGTAGACAGAAGTCGGATTCGGAGGTACCATTGGGCTGAAACCAATTAATCATTGGGACGAATTATGGGGGGCAGGGAGACTACTCACCCTGCTATCATGTTCACTGGTGGATACGGCACTCTCAACTGTTGACCCGACAGATCGATAGGTCTGAAAAAACAATCCTAATCCACTGAATTATATTGAAACAAGAGAAATGAAATGTACCTGTTCGCTTCCTCCTCCTCCTCCCATGGATTCTGTATCGGCGCGCTCCAGTTATTCATCGTCGCGAATCGAATGAAATGAGCCTAGGCGAAGACCCCAGGTTAAGCCAACCCCGCCCACCATTTTGAGTCGCAAATGGCAACAATGAAGGCCATAATTGCGGCAGATGACCCCTCTTATTTGCAAATTGATATGTTGAAAATTTTGGCACAAAGGCGAAGCTCGAATATGACGTTATCCATCCGGTATCACTAGAATTCCGAAATGAGTTTGAACAATAAATGTGAGCTCGGGAAATTAGGCAATTTCCGGCAGCAATGCACGTATGTTTTTCGATTTTTTGGACATTAGAAGATTTGCAGAAAAGAATTATTGCAAGACATCTCACATTTTTTTCAGAGTCATGCGCTCATCTGGCATCAATTTGACACCTTCGAGCAGCCACCTGCTCATTTTCAAATTGTCGTCAAATTTCAGTCGGCTGCCGTTTGTCGTGCGAACCTTTCATATCTGACAATTATTTAAGGATTATATTATTGCACCTGCCTGCAGATACAATCAATGCCAATTTGACGACCCCCATTTTGTCGGCTCCGGATTATTTTGGCACCTGTTGGTGAGCCATGAGGAGTCAAATTAATACTCTCGTAGAGGTGCCGTTCGAAACTCATACCATCTGTATATCAAATGATTCCAAGGGGAAATTAATATTTCAAATAATAGGGCATCTTTAAAATTACATTTTATGACTAGGTCCTTAACATTCAAATACATTTATAATGAATTTCGAGAAGTAATCAGTTCTGGTATAATCTCCTACCCGTCCCCCGCCCCGTAGATCAAAAATATACTAACTAATGAGATTATGCCAAGCGTTGCCAATGATAATCTCATTAAGGAATTATGCATATACCAGCCAAACAATGTTAAGCTCGTCACTGAAATTGGACGTGCTCAAAACTGATAAAAACAGATTAACGTTGAATGTGGAAATCGGCTTGAGAAGATCACCAGAATCATGAATATTTTTATGATTTATGACTAAAATATGGAAATTATGTACTAAATTTTCAGTATATTCGATGACGTTGGTCAGAAATTTGTGAGTCATGTTGTAAAAGCCTTCAATTTTTTAATATCATATAAAATACAAAATTCCAAAAAATTTTTGCCCATTTTTTTTGAGTGGCTTTGTGTTAGTTATTTGTTAGAAACCTCTCAAATCCTGAGAAATCCGACCCATTCAGACTGCCTAATTTGTGTACTCAGTTTTTTTTGCACAGGGTCATTTTCTATGTTCTTCGACTCTATTTCCTTCTCATTTTCTGTTTTGTTCGAAGATTTCCGATTAAATACTTTATTATATGTAATGACGAGGCTAAACTAGAGATGCATCAAGATTATAATTCGGTTAATTGGTTATGCATGCTTGATTACTGTGGGTTGTTCAATCCACTTGGTCCTGGTTGATCAGCTGGCGCCTGGAATCCAACAAATTATGAATCCGCTTATGAGAATCCTACCGAAGTGATCTCACGCAACACTTGCATTGTATTGGCCGCGTCGTTCAAATGATCGTTGATTCGCTTATCAATCGCCGCCAAATACTTATTGGACTCATCGAACAACTTGCGCTGGTTATCTCTGAGCTCTTGCATCTTCAGAGCGGTCGTCTTGAGAGTGTTGACGTCAGTCTCAAGAATGCGAGTGAAGCGTCTCATCACGTCGCGAGATTTGGCAATCTCCGCGAATTGGTTGAGCGTCTTATTGCGCTGAACGAGCATGTACTCCTGAAGCGCTCTCGCCTGTTCGGCGTTCTTCACGCATTTCTCGTTCAGCGAGTTCATCTTTCTCGTTTGAGCCGCAATCTCAGCAGGCGATGGAATTTCGCTGAAATGAACGGATCATTGAGATTTTGAATCCAGATCTATCGCTAACTTCTTCATACTGTCGACCTGAGCGATAATCATTTGACGCATGAAGGCCTCGATATGTTCGGTCGGCGGCATCTTTCACTGAAAAAATGATTTTAAACCAAAAAAGGAAATTGAGAAAATAGCTCGAATGAGATTTATGTGAGTCGCGCTTGATATTTATAGGCGCCCCCTCAGGGCTCCGCCCATATCACGAGGGCCTCGCCGGCAGCGCCTACCATAATTGAGCCATGGCGTAACAAAAAGATTAACAGCTTTTCGAGATGAATCAAATGAAACTAAAAATAGTAATGTCGAGGCGATTAGAAGCTTATTCGAATCGTTTGATTAAAATTGACTAAGAGGGAGATATATGATGAAATGTATTGATTTTTCAACAATTCAAGTCTTTCCAGAATTTGGAAGACACAACATGGCTTAAAAAGTTTTCAGATTTCTTGAATTTTTAAGAACATTCGAATGTAAAATTCTGAATATTATAATTGTCAAAAACATTTTGCAAATTAATTTTTTATTCTCAAAACTGGTGACTCTTGTGTCCGGATTTCTATCAATGTCAAAAAAATTTATTTCAGAAAAAAAACGTCAAATCATTATTCCAATTGGTTTTGCAACACATTCGCGTTGATGATAGTGATTTGTCTTTTCGATTCCAAACTGATGATCGCATTCTGAATCGTCGTCGTGTTGGCCTCGTAAATCTTTTTCGTGTTGCTACTCAGCTGTTCAATCTTCTCAATAGCCTCCGCCACAGATTGTTCGGCTTCTTTGATGTACCGCTGCTGGCACACCGCCGGATCCTCAGTCTTCAACCGCTCGCGACATGTTCGGATGATCTTCTCCTGAGTTTTCAGCATGTTCTCATGTATCTCTTTGGTCTTTTGAATGTTGCCATTGAACAGATAAAGAAGTCCGCTGAAGTTCCTCGATTTGACCATGTCATCCTCGGAATTGCGATAGATTCTTAAAATAATTGGAATATATTTTTGAAAAACAAAAATAATCATACTCAATGATTTGTTCGGAAGCGCTAAGAAATTTGCCAGGCTCGGCCATGATGATCTAAGAGAGGAAATAAATGATGTGCGCCGAATATGTAGAGCAGTCTGAATGCTATTCACAAGTCCCGCCCATAATCTGAGCGGAGCATGGATAATTAGGGGACTCGGGTGATGAAATTCAAATTTCTTGATAATGCCGATAAAATTAATTAAATTTATTCAAAAATTAGTCATTCAAAAGGTTTCGATTCAATTCTTTTTATTCTTATTCCTTTTATTTTTCCTCTTCGTCTTCTTCGCTTTCTTCGACGTCTTCTTTTTCTGCGCCGCCGCCGCCGTCGTCTCTTCGCTCAATTGCATCTGAAAATTGGAAGAGCCTTTGACCGAAGAAAGTCTCGAATCTGACCGCTTCGAGAGCCCTTTCTATTTCCTGCTCCCTCTCGTGGAAATTCGGCGGAATGCGCGGATTGGCAGCGTCGATGAACATCAGCGTTCGACAGCAGATGTCTCGCATGCTCATCTCCAACTCGTTGATTCTCATGATCGCCGTGTCGAACATATTGACGGCCGCCGCCGAGTATACACTGAAGTTCAGCTTTTCTGGGTGGTCCCTGAAGACCGCGATGATCGCTTTCGTCACATTCTCCTGCTTCTGCACCATTTCCTCGCGAATCGCACCAATGCGTTTCATAGTATTCTCGAGTTCAATTTTCAATTCAAGCTTCTCTTCTCTCACCGTCAGATCTTTCCGAAGTATTTCGATTTGGCTAAAAAGAATCATAATTGAATTTGAAAAATGAATGAATACCAACTTCTCGTGGCGATCCAAGGCTTCTTCCAAAGACTTCCGAATATCTTCAGAATCGGTCATCTTTTGTAAAACAGGTAACAATAGGAATATTCTTTGCAAATGTCGTTGAGAGGGTGACCAATATCAAGCCCCGCCCACAACCAGACGATAATTGCCGGGACCACCTGTAAAAGAAGTCAATGCCCCCCCCCCTCAACCGTTTTTTTTATAGCAAAAAACATTGTCCTAGAGGATAATTGAAGTTTGTTTTCAATTTCCGTTTGAGACCACAAATAACGAAATTTGTGTTGTTATGCACCTACAAATAATAACAAACTTAATGCGTATTTTCACAAATGCACGTAGGCTTCTCGATATTGATATTATCTTCACAAGAAGTCCAACATCAAGTTTCCAAAGCTGCTGCTGCAGCAGCATTCTACATAATTAAATGTATCACGCGATACCCACCTGTTCTATTCATGGATACGGTAGCTTCAGAAGTTAATCCCCTCCGCTCAGGCAGTCTGACAATTATACGTCTATTATTTAACACCCACCTGCTGGCGGGCGCCCTTTTGAGTGCTGATAATCTGAGCAATTATTTTCGGATTTGATATTTGAGACCGCACACACATTAATTTATTTTCGGCAATGCTTCAAACTAATGAACATTTTCCGGAACTACAATACAGGGTGTCATTTAAGTTCCCGCACAACTTTGAAGACGTATATTTCTGAAACTAAAGGTCCAAATCAAACGAGACTCGAAATATTTTTTATCTATAGTATAACAAATATTTATCTATTAACTCTTTTCGATTCGGCCTCCTTTCGGAGCTATGACTTCACAGAGACGCTTCGGGTAGGATGCGACTGTGGTACGCAGGTATTCGATGGAAAGATTGTGCCATTCCGCCAGTAATGTCTTCTTCAGAGTCTCTACACTTGAGTGGGGTTTTGCGTTGACCTTCTCCTGCAAGACCCCACACGGAGAAGTCAAGCGGGTTCAGGTCTGGGGACCAATCAGGCCATTCGGATGACTTGATGAAGTCGGGAAAATGGGTCTGGCACCACTCCTGAGTAGTTTTGGCAGTGTGGGCGGGTGCTTCGTCCTGTTGAAAGACCCATTTCTGCCCAACGAAATGCGTTTGGGTCCAGGGCATCACATGCTCCTCTAAAAAGTCCCGAACGTAGACTTCTTTGTTCATTTTCATCCCCTGATCTGCAAAAACCAGGGGCGCTTCCCGGTTGAGCAGATGGCACCGAAAACCATCATACTGGCAGGATGTGAGGCTCGATGTATTGTTCTGCTTTTCTCAGAAGCTTGCTGGGATGTCTGGGCAAGTACTCGATGGTTTTGTGAGTTGAATGCCGCCTCCACAGTGAATAGCTTCTCGTCCGAGAAGACAGTGACGAGATGTTCTCCAGACTGCGTGCGAGCAAGAAGTTGTTTTGCTTTTTCGAAGCGTCTCTGCTTGTTGACGGCCGATAGAATTGCCGCTTTTTGGACACGATATGGGGTCAGTCCAAGCTTCGTTTTGACGATTTGTTCCATAGCGAAGATGCTCATTCCCACGTCTGACGCCATCTTTCTCATGCTCCTGTGGGGGTTTCGCCTGATCCTCGATTTGACGGCGTTTATCTTCTGAGGAGTGGTTACTGAGACGAGTCTTCCTTGTCTGGGACGGTCACTGGTCGTATTTAGCTCCTTGAAACGTTTGATGGTGTCGCAAACCGTTCTACGAGGCACACCGAGGCGTTGAATGATGTCTCTCGGGCTCACATTTAGCTTATGAAGTTCGATAATGGAAGCGCGATGGATGTTAGCCTTCGCCATTTCTCGGAAACACATCCGAAAGAGGTGAAACTTGGAAAGTAAGTAAAATATACCTTATTTAACAAAAATAAATTGTATTGGTGCACGAAAAGTGCGCCAGCCAAGCTCTTCATGGCGTCAAACTTTTGTGCGGGAACTTAAATGACACCCTGTAGAAGGAAGAACATAGCTACAAGGATGAATGTGTGTGTGTGTTTTTTTTATTATTATGCAGGGAACAGGAAATTATGGCAGAATGACAAATAGAATGTGAGGATTCTGAAATCTACTATTTTTTTCAAATAAATTATATTGGCTGGTGGGAATGTGTTTTTGGGATATACATATACGGAATTGGACTGTTGAAATACATATGAAATGCGCCTTTAAAGTAAATAATAATTAAGGGAAATCAAAAGCTTGATTAACTGAATTCACTTCTTTAAAGCAAATTTTATATTTTAAAAAAAGTGATTTTTGAAATGATCTACTAAACTGCAAAACCGAATATTTTTTAGAAATAACTGGGTTGATTTAATGGAGCGGGCCTTTAAAATTGGTCTCAAATTGGCGTTTATATTGATAGTATTCTTTCTATAGATTTTAATTTCGAGACCCATTTTAAAGGCGCAGGTAAACACTGGTCGCAATACGAAAATGGATTTTGTGAGACAACAATCAAATCGTTTCATATTTTTACTTCTTCGCTTCGTCCTTGTTGAAGAAGATACCCTAAAACAAATTGCAATTAAATAATTAATTGTGATATTAAATTACCATGACGTCTTTTCCAGTCATGAGAGCATTCTGGTACATCAAATTCTGCATCGAAGCGCGCGAAGTCTCGGCGAAAATCTTGCACCAAGTGTCGCCGCGATGCTCGAACGCCTCATCCCATTCGGCAGTGCCCGGAGTCGACATCTTCAATTTGTTGGTGACCCGAATGAACTCGTCGATGAGAATGCAAATGGTCTTTGTGGTATTATAGAGTTTGTACGGTCCTTCAGACAGCGTCAGAATGCGCAACGAGATCTTCCAGACGACGAAAAACTTGTCCCTAAACAATTTTCTCTATCGTGCTGACTCAATCGATTCGCAGCCTTACAAATTGGCTTCGAGTTTACGCTGAATCTCCTCGGTGCTTTTGTAATGGACCCTGAAAATAACGAGAAAAGAACATTCGAAAATAGTTTCAATTCGAACTCTTTCTCCATCTCGTGATAGAGCTCATTGAGATCGTTTTGCTTCTGAGTCAGCAAATCGCACAGATACAAAATATCGAGCCACTTCTCAGCACGAGTCTTGCGATCATAGTCCGGGTCGGCGATCGGCGACAATGACGATGAACTCGAACCATCGCTAAAATACAAAACTCGATTGATCGAGCCATTCAATTCAATATTACACTTCGACAATGTCGTCGTCCTCGCGGATGCTCTCCACATTCTCCAAAGCAATGTCGTCGGCCCTGAAACGCAAGATCAAGTCCCTGATATCGTGATTAATTTTACATTTCCACATCCAAGGTTGGCTTCAAATTCTCGACCATCCTGCAATCATTGACAACCCTTAAACGATTCATTGATTTAGCACCATTTCTGGATATTTTACTTCTCAATAATCTCGTCGATCTTCTTCGGGATCTCATCATCAATGCTCGGTGCCGAAGACCTAAATAGAAAATATATGGTTACCGACGTCATTATCATTACTTCTGGGAAAATCCCGATTCCACCATAGCGATTGGGTTGTTCGAACGGCTAGTTTCCGAAGCATTAACACCCCTAAAATGTATATGTTATACTGTAAATTATTCGAAAAAATTAGACTTTTTTCCTGCGCCTCTATTCGCCTTCTCAGCCAGCTTCTTCGCCGTGTTCATTTTGAAAATTCTCGCCGATCTGAAATTTCCCATTCAAAGGCACTTCTTCCCGTAGGATACGCACATCTTCTTTCTTTCGCCCTTCTTGCCAACATTTTTGCCTCTCGGATTCGCCATTTTCACGTCGGTTGATTGAAAATCCTAGAATGTCGAAGTCAAATTATTTTTAGGCATTTAATTAAGCAAGAAAAAACGCGTAAGGAGAACGGTCGCAAAAATATATTATTGGGCGTATGGAGGGAAAGATGAAGAAGAATGAATCACGAGCATTGTCTTTAGAAAATAAATCCGCGACTACAAATTCCGACTACCGTAGTCGCTTTGAAAGCCGATGCTAATTACGACCTATTATCAAAATGGAAGCTCACAAGAGAGGCAGGTGCGTTTCAAAATATCATAGAGAACAAAACAAGTGGGCGGGCCGAAATGAGAGTAATGAGAAGACGAAGAATCTTCTAGCGAGCTTTATATACGCAATATAGTGGTCTGATAACGCATCTACTTATGCTGCTTAACTAAGGCACTATGAAACTATTAAAAACCCTTAAATATTTTATAGCTCTCCCATAAACTTGATAATGTATACAGTTCAAGCCCAAAAACGCATTGATTGTACTTTCGTCGTATCTCAAAACCCAACAGATTTGGTTCGAACAATGATGTAAATGGTCTTCGGATCCATAAGATGCTTCTAATTCTTCGTGCGAACTATTGAAATTGAATGATATTTATTGGAGTTGATGCGCCAAGGCGTTTTAATGAAATTTCACCACACCAAAAAACGCGGGCCATAAATTACAATGGTCCTTAATTAACCGGCGAAGCCATATTTGGATTGATTGAAATTCGCCGGGGGAACTAAAATATAGAGTAGAAAGTGAGGTGAGCAAGTGCGCATAATTGCTACTATCGAAAAGGTCGCAAAATTATCACAAGTGTTGTTTTGGGCTCGCTGAGCCAATCTCGATAGTTCTGCGACTCTCCATCGACTCGACTCGTATTCAAATCTATTCCATTTCCGGTTTACGAGAATCACGCAACCCAAAAAATATTGCCAATAGAATGTCAACGAGGTGATAAAATTTTTTTCGGAGACAAACGTTCATACGAACATTGCACAAGCCGGGTGTCGGACACACAATTTTTTGTGCGGCAATCGATTGTTATCAGTGCCGCAAAGAACCCGTTCAGGTGGGATCGTTTGAATATTCGTGAAAAACGGTGGGAGAAACAGAAAAGAAAGGAGGAAATTGGAAGAGTGATGACAAATCGAAAGAACGCCGCCGCAGCCGCGCCGGTTATTGGCGTGCGAGCCATCACGCTTCCATGTAATTTCGAATCGAGCTTATTTGCACGGAAAATTCTTTTTTTTTAATAGATGAGGAGTGGACGTGAGAGAAGAGATTATTCTAGATTTCATACTGTACACGAAAAAAAATTTTTTTTTAATTTCCTAACTTGATTCACCTGGAATGCTGCAATAATAATTCTTTAAGACTAAAACGAACCTTGCGAAAAAATACGATTGCGACGACGACTTCTTAAATAGCAGACAATGTGAGCCTATATCAATAATAATATTATTAGTAATAATAATAATAATAATAATAATAACAATAATAATAAATAACGGCGATTTTCACAGTCTCGCACGTCGACTTGAATCTCTTCATCTTACGTGCTCACTTCCAAATCACTGTCTTCTCTGCGTCTCTCACTATTTCGCCAATGTAAGAAACATGTGCAAAAGTTACAAAAACGATGGTTCAACTAACATCTGTATAAAGCCGACCCTTCTCTTTCTCTCTCTCTCCCTCGTCCTTATTCTTTCGCGTTTATACGGCGACTTTCATAAAGATATTTACAATAAACCACTGACTGATAACATTATTAAAAACATGGATTGTTGTTTTGAAGCCGAGACGGACTTAGACCGAATAAAAAATTGTTGATTAAGAAAAATTGTCTTGAAGCAACTGCTATTAAATAATTTGTATATGGAATTCATTAAATGTTTGATAATAAACTTGATAATTTCAGCTACTTCGACCGAGTATCAAAAAAAATGCATGGGCTCGTCTCCGATGGGCGAGCCGGCCGAAACGACGAGCCTGTGAAAAACGCTAGTGAATTTCATGATTAATGGGTGAATCTTGAAGGTTACTGGAACACGTTCTCCAGTTCCAAGCTAACTATAACTAACCAAGGTTTTTGAAAAAGTCAAACGAATCTGAAAATTTACCTTGCATTCATCCTTTGTAATTTCCTCATTCCGATCGAATCTCCAGAAATTTATAGAAGAATCGAAAAAATGATAAACGTGGGAGAAAGAAAACTGTCGGCGCGACAATGGGATTAATTACCAAATCATTAAACCTCAAAAAGGATCCTAAAAGCGTGATCCAATAAAATAAAAGGCCTAACTGTGCAATGCTTTTAAGATTCGCAGATATCCCTTTTCTTAATGGATTTCGAAAAAGAAGAATCAGAAAAAAAAAACATTTGAAATTACTACAGTTGCTATTAGCTCCACCAAATTTTGTGTGCAAATTAACGAAAAAAAATGAACGAATGTTCCAAATTATACCAGAATTAATTGAACAAGAACTTATCATCGTTGATCGATTCTTGTATTCTTTATTAAAAAAAATAAAACGTTAATCCTATTCTATGAATTACACTATTAAATATATTTATTGTCGGCGTCAAACGACTGAAGAGAGGCGAGGCATTCAAATTCGCAAAATAGGTGTAGATTTAAAATTATCGTTGAGTGAATATTAAATGCGCGTACGATATAACGCAATGTACGCAGTCTCGCGTGCTTTTCGCAGCCACGAGGCACATTGGCAGATAGCCAATAATTTTTTAAATTTCGTTCAGTCGTTTGACTCCGACAATACAAACATAAACATGAGGTTATTCAACTCAGGGGTGGGAATAATACTTCATTTGGAAGAGAAGCGTCGCAAACAGGACACACCGCCTTCTGACGTTGCCATTCTGCCAAACACTGCAATCAATGAATTTTTCAAAGTAACGAAATAGGTCTGTTAGAAGTCACCCCACAAGTATGGTGGGGGCGGGTGATATCCAAATAAAATGGGAATTTAAACGTTGGGGTGGAAAACAGAGGTGGGGGTGGCTTCTAATAGACCAAAAATATGTATGTATACTGACATCAGAATCATATCTGCGATGACATATTTCACATTTCTGCGTTTTTGCTTTCAAGTCCTCAAAACAAATAATACAGGTATTGTCCTAAAGAATATATTAAAATCTAAAAACTAAATAGAAAACTAACTGAAATTTTCAAGTCTTCATTTATTACTGTCTTTGAATTCCATGCGGATTTTCTCGTTTTTTTCATTTTCTTCAATTTTTCTTCTCGCTTCGATTTTTTCATTTCGCTCAAACGAAGTCATGAAATCGACAGAAAATTTGTTCGGCAGTAAATTTTTCAGTAAATTTTTGTCGATTGGAGCATCAGTGTTCTCCTAAGAAGCTAAATGTTGAAATTAAAAATACAATGCAATACCGTAATCGACGAAACCGCTTTCACAATTTGATTCAAGGCATTGTTCTTTTCTTCAACAAATGTTTTCAGCTCATTTTTTGCGGAATCGCAGTTTCTGGAAAAAGACTGAAGATGACAAACATTTTCTTCGCACTACTTCTTCTTTCATATTTACGAAAATTTAACCAGACACCGTTCGAAAGAAATATTTCTCACATTTTCAATTCTTTCAAAGTCGAATCCGCCGCGTCAAGAATTGTCCTCACTTCTTCCATTTCATTCAAAGCTTCATTTACACTTATCATCCTCGCCTGCTTATTTTCCCGTTGAACAACCACCATAGCTGGTTTTTTCTGCTCAATTGCTTTCGGCTTCATCGTCTCCGCCTGAGCAACGGATTGTTCAAGCTGATTCCACAAGTTATCAACTTCTTCAGAAGCTTCTTTCAGTTCTTTTTCGAGACGAATTTTTGAAGATTTGAGCTTCTCTATTTCCTGTTTCACGCGTATACAGGGTGTCATTTAAGTTCCCGCACAAAAGTTTGACGCCATGTAGAGCTTCGCTAACGCACTTTTCGTACACCAATACAATTTATTTTTATTGAACAAGGTATATTTTACTTACTTTCCAAGTTTCACCTCATTCGGATGTGCTTCCGAGAAACGGCGAAGGCTAACATCCATCGCGCTTCCATTATCGAACTTCATAAGCAAAATGTGAGCCCGAGAGACATCATTCAACGGGTCGGTGTGCCTTGTAGAACGGTTTATGACACCATCAAACGATTCAAGGAGCTAAATACGACCAGTGACCGTCCCAGACAAGGAAGACTCGTCTCAGTAACCACTCCTCAGAAGATCAACGCCGTCAAATCGAGGATCAGCCGAAACCCCCACAGGAGCATGAGAAAGATAGCGTCAGACATGGGAATGAGCATCTTCGCTTTGGAACAAATCGTCAAAACGAAGCTTGTACTGACCCCATATCGTGTCCAAAAAGCGGCAATTCTATCGGCCGTCAGCAAGCAGAGACGCTTCGAAAAAGCAAAACGACTTCTTGCTCGCACGCGGTCTGGACAACACCTCGTCACTGTCTTCTCCGACGAGAAGCTGTTCACTGTGGAGACGGCATTCTACTCACAAAACCATTGAGTACTTGCCCAGACATCCCAGCAAGCTTCTGAGAAAGGAAAAACAATTAATCGAGCCTCACATCCTGCCAGTGTGATGGTTTTCGGTGCCATCTGCTCAACCGGGATGTGCCCCCAGGATTTCGTGGATCATGGAGTGAAAATGAACAAAGAAGTCTACGTTCGGGACATTTTGGAGAAGCATGTGATGCCCTGGACCCAAACGCATTTCGGTGGGCAGATATGGGTCTTTCAGCGGGACGGAGCACCCGCCCACACTGCCAAAACTACTCAGGAGTGGTGCCAGACCCATTTTCCCGACTTCATCAAGTCATCCGAATGGCCTGATTGCTCCACAGATCTGAAACCGCTTGACTTTTCCGTGATAGGGTCTTGCAGGAGAAGGTCAACGCAAAACCCCACTCAAGTGTAGAGGCTCTGAAGAGGACATTACTGGCGGAGTGGGACAATCTTTCCATCGAATACCTGCGTACCACAGTCACATCCTACCCGAAGCGTCTCCGTGAAGTCATAGCTGCGAAAGGAGGCCGAATCGAAAAGAGTTAATAGATAATTATTTGTTGTACTATAGATAAATAATATTTTGAGTCTCGTTTGATTTGGACTTTTAGTTTCAGAAATATACGTCTTCAAAGTTGTGCGGGAACTTAAATGACACCCTGTATTTTCATCGCTCAGCTTCTCAATAGTCGCGTTGGCTTCTTCCAGCTCCTCCTCGTTTGATTTTCTAATCTTATTAAGCAGCGGATCAAGATTTTTGAGCTTTTTTTCCAGCGATTCGACCATCATCTCAGCATCTTTTCGAATTTTCTCAGCAGTTTGTTTTTCCTTCTTCATAACTTCTAATTCTTTGCGAGCATTGCTCGCTTCTTCGCGAACTGTTGTAATCGACAAATTCATGTCGGAAATCCGTGCATTCAATTCTTCCTCTTTATTAATCCATTCCTCCTCCTTCATTTCAAATAGCTTCCTATATTCTTTCAGCTCAGTTTCTCTGAATTTAGCAAGAAAATCAAAGTTTTCCCGGGAATTTTTTTCAACGAGCAGTAATCGACGATTCTCGGAGTCTTCGTACATTTCTTCCATTTTTGCCAATTCTTGATACGTTTCAGATATTTTACTTTCCATCCGCCCTTTTTCATGTCTGAGCTGCGCGATCTCTTGGCAATATTTCGTATTTTGTTGCTCAAAATCGATGCGCCACTTATCGCACATTTCTTCTAATTCTTTCAGCTGTTGTATGGCGGCATTTCTTGATTGTTCACACACAACAATGCCTTCTCTTAGTTGTTTGAGCTTCTTGTTCATCAGAGTGACCGCGATCCATTCAACTGTCTGCACTTCTTTAGAAACTTTATCCGTAGCAAAAATATCGTCGGTTTCCGTCGAATTGTCTTCCATTTGTCTCATAGGCCCTTTCGTCTCATCTGTCCTGAATAGTTTATAGTTTTATTGGAAAATAGATGACCAGTCAAAATTGTCGCGGCCAAAAATGATCGCGATGTAAACAACATATGTATTGTCAAATAAAATGCAAAAGTACACAAGAATATTTTCAGCTTTAATTCAAAATTTAACGTCATCTATTGTGTGTCAAAAATTTTGAAATAAGAATTTTCTTAAACGACCGTGTTGAGTGTTCACACCTAATGCATTTCATTCGACGACTATTTTAAAACATGTAATTTTTACGCGATTGAGCATTAAAAAAAATGCCCATTTTTGATGTTTCGGTATGGCAGACAAATGAGACACAAATGAGAAATTTCCCAGGAATTTCGAAAATAAGCGAAATTGTAAAACTTCCGGACTTCTACGTTTTATTTGACGACAATACACATGCTGCTTACTTCACGATCGATTTTCACCGCGACGTAGAAATTTCGTTCTTTTCCTATTTTTTCGATTTCTCATCTACACAGTTTCAATGATTTTTATATATATTTTTACAGGCTAACCAAGTCCCTTAAATTTAACCTACATGGCATGAGAAAAAATAACTTTCTATGAATTTTAAGTACTTTCGTTATTTTTAAGTGTCAAACAGCGGAGTACATGCAAATTTTATTTTTCGGACGAAATTAATTGGTAGCCCGACCAATTAAAATTAGGCAAATTCATATGGCATTCTGAATTAGTCGCTTCAAACCCCCATCTTTCTTTGCGCGTTATGAGCCTTTAATCAATTCATTTTTTGAGTTTACTCTTAATTTTCATGGAAATTTATTACTATTCGAATATCAAAAAATTGAAAATAATTTAATATTGAATAGAAAATCCAGATATCAGTGATTCAAAAATAATACTCTGGTAACTCACAACCTCTCATTGTCTGCGTTCTCTTAATTGTCAACACTGCCTCACTTACAATAATAGAAATTGTACGAGTTTTCTAGAAACACGCCAACTCAGTATAGAAGGACGCGCAATTTGTGTTGATTGTCTTTTCCTTCTCAGAGTTTAAACGAACTTTAATTATTTAACTACGTGTACTCACATCACCAGTCACAATCCTCAACATCACAACACTTACAATATTGCAATAGATTTTCTGGCTATATATTGATTATGTCCGAAAAAGTTCGACTCGTCAACCGGATCAATCATTTGGTCAATTTCCGAATTAGCCGAACGTCTTCTCTTCTTCGGAATTGGACCCTTGTGTACTCTTGAGCTTTTCTGTCGCTCGACCAGTGGAAAAACAACGGCCGAAATCGGAACGTTAACCATTTTCGACGTTGTGCAATCTATTTAATATACACATTTTAATTAATATCAAAACTAATTATTACCACTATCATTATTGTTATTATCGGCCGTTCCAACAGCTGTACTGCTTTTTGGTTCATTTTTATAGTTAGTAGACTTAGAAGAAATCCTGCTATTCACATTTTGCATCGATGTGTCTCTTATTTTTTTCATCCACCGTTTCCCGCCATTTATAGAGACCGAAAAATACTTCTTGAATTGCTTGCTGAATTCAATAAACGATGTCTTATCTCCTTCCAGCATCTACATCAATTTGTAAATTTGGTTTTTTCAAATTTCTTACACTTTTGGCAGTCTGAATATCGTTTGTTGAGAATCCAATTGTTTCTAAAACATTGAGAAATTGATTTGCTCTGAAGCGAAGATTTATGTCGTCTTCATTAATTGGTGGGAGCAGTGAGAGGATTTTTCTGAAAAAAATTCGATTTTTGGTAAATTTGGAATAATTCATTGAAAATACTCGATATTGGCCATCACATGTTCGAAAAGAAGTTTTCGCGATTCTTTCAAATCGACACGGTCGCATAAAATCATATTCTATGACGTAAATGCTTGGATCCCATTCAATAGTTGGTGAATAACTTGATTTCTGAATCAGAAAACATTTCATGTAGACTTTTTTTTTAAAGAAAACGAAAACGCGACAGATGAAGAGGAGCAGAAATTTCTCTATACGGCAATGATTCATTCGGATGACTAGAAAACGACAAGTATCGCTGCGTCATTTATGGAAGGAGCTGTGAAACCGACGACTTTTGTATTTCCTCACAAATATTTTTTTGTATTTCCTCACAAATAACGACATGGTTCACGTAACATTTGACACTCACGCTTAAATTCAAAACGTCGAATTAAAACATTTTAATCAAAGATACAAAAAAACAAAGGTGTAAAAAGTTTCGAGGGACATAAAAAAAATGAAAAAAAAATATTAGTTCGGTGGATATAATGCTTCAACTGGAAGAAAAGCGTCGCAAACAGGACACACCGCTTTCTTACGTTGCCATTCTGCCAAACACTGCAATTTTTGAATTTTCAAAAATCCAAAAAAATGTATACTGACATCAAAATCATATCTACGATGGCATGTTTCACATTGTTGCGTTTCAGCTTTCAATTCCTCAAAACAAATAATGCAGGTATTGTCCTGAAGAAACTATTAACAAGCTATATTAATGGAAGTGTCATCATCAAAACATACGTCAATTTCCAAGTCTCTGTTATCAACATTCTCCACGTCCAATGCACTTTGGTTCGTTTCGCATATCGTTTTCTTCATTTCGTGTTCAATATAAGTCATAAAATTCAAAGAAAACGGCTTTGGCAATATATGTCTGATAACTCTTTCATTGATTGTAGTATTATAATTGTTCTAAAGCAATGAGAATGCTTTAAAAAAAGAGATTCAGAATACCACAAGTAGCGAGACATTCCGTTCGAGTTGCTCCAAAGCATTGTCCTTATATGCAATAAACTCGGCCAGCTCGATTTTCATTTGATCAGAAGTGCTGAAAAATTATTTCGAAATTTTAGCAACTCTTGATTGAACCTACACCGGCATGTCTGTTATGAACGAATCAGACGCGACAAGAATATCATTTATAATTTCCAGTTGCCTCAACTCTTTATCCATCAATGACGCTCTCGTACACTTGTTGTCTTGTATCATAGTCTTCAGCCGTTTTGTCGGCTCATCTGATTTATTCGGCTCCTTCTCATCAACTTTTGTTTGCTTAACCGAGTTTGATTTCACCGTATCCGACTTATTAGTAGATTCCTGAATTTTATTCCACAAGCCCTCAACCTCTTCAGATGCATCTTTCAAATCGCTATCAAGATTTGCATTCATTAATTCCAGTTCGACGAGTTTTTCTTTAAGACATTCAATTTCGTTCTGAAGATCGCAAATCGTTTCATTCGCTCGTTTAATTTCGAGAGCATTTTCTTCCTTGCTCATTTCTTTTAACTTCTGAATAGTCGCATCGGCTTCTTTAAGTTTTGTTTCAAGGCGTTTATTTGAGTTTTCAGCCTGCTTCAATTTCGGACGAAGTTCCTTGAGTTCTTCTTGGAGTTTCTTAGCCATATTTTCCGCGCTAATTCGATTTTTCTCCGATTTTTTCAAATCTGTCGATTTCTTGTTTGCTTCTACACGAATAGTTGCAACAGACGAATTGAGAGAATCAATCATCGAGATATAGCGTTCCTCTTTCCGCTTCCATTCAGCTTCCTTTTTGGCAAGCTCAATCTTCCAACAAATTTCCACTTTCTCCTCTTTCTCTTTTTCGAGTTTTGTCTTTTCTTTGCGTATTGATCTGAAAATTCCCAAATATTAATCGTTTATTAAAGTGTTTCCCTATTTGGACGCTCTTAAACCATAGAGAATAAATAATATTACTCTTTAGCGAAATCTTCCACAATGTTGTTTTTCATTGTTTCGGAAATATTTTGAGCATCAAAACCTGTTTCATTTTTCCCATCACTTTTTGACCTGAAATACATTTTCGTTAGAAATTTTACAGTATTTCTTAAACAAAAACGAGCCTTTCAATAACTGGATTATTGAAGTTGTTATTATTATTATCATTAATATTATTGTCCTCGCGTTTTACTTTTTCTGATGACACACAATATTCTCCATGTTTCTTTTCTTTAGAAGGCAATCTTAATAAATGTCAATATTTAGAAATATTAAATAAAATTCAATTACTTTTTCGACAAATTCTTATCTACGTTTATTTCATTGTCGACTTCGTCTTCTTTTGAGCCTTTCTTCTTGTTTTGCTCAACACTCTCTTTTAAATGTTTAATAAAAAAATGGTCTGCGGAAAAAATATTGCTTGCGGTTACATCTTCTGAAAAAACAAGAAGTTGGTTCGAGCAGAAATTATAAAAAATCAATTAAAATATTGGCCTAATCTGGGAACAAGTTATCGGAACTTTAAACGAATTCGGGTAAATCATATCAGCGTCGGCTCTGACAATTCGACTCGTCCGCGCGGCGTCCGATGTGATTTACCAAGGAACGGCTTTGAAAAGTTTACGGTAGTTTGCTCTAATCACCGATTGTGATGGACGAGAGCGATTCTATTTCGCAATCACTAAGCAACAAGTTGCAACTGTCTGATCAAAAATAGTCCGGAAGCGTCAGAAAAATTTCGATCAGATGAAGTTGAGCAGGATCATCAACATAAATTCGATCGAAATGATCGTCAAAAACAGGTTAAGCCCCTAATGCATCTGTCACTTCCGGGGGACGTTCGGGCATTAAATTTATCGCCCATTTTCGACAATATCAATTAATATCACAATATTTTGAAATCCATCACAATTAAACTTTTTCAACGGGCAGAACAATACTGCAATTGTTTTGTGATTGTAGAAAACATGCCATCAAGAAAGGCATTGGCATTTCGCACAAGCATTATCATACTCTATCATAACAGCATATTGTTAAATATTGTTGCAAACTAATGAGTGGGGAATATTTCAAAAAAAAAACTGAACCTAAAACTTCTTCGAGTTCCGGCATTTCGAAAAACTTATTTCGATTGAGGTTGACTTTAAAATTGTCGCCTGAAATTTTTACTTTAAATATATTGAACATACTTTTGATTCTCACATGGCTTCAGCCCCTTTAGATCCGCTTCTTTATGAATAAATCGAAGAACACAAAATTTGTAGAATTTGCAATATTTTTGATTATGAAGTAACAGAGCCATCTATAATGTTTTCATTTTTAGAAATTTTCCGACATACTCGTTTTACAGGCATTCACCATTCACTATGGCTTTGCCATTATTCATGAATTAACCTTAATTTCAGATATCGTACTATAATGATTTCGAAAAAAACCCCTACATCCGAATAAGAAATTTTTTTTTCTTAAAAACCCTAGGGAAATTGATAAAAATAGTTTTAACGTGTTTTTTTTTAAAGTATTCTCCAAAATATGCATAGTACCGTTAATATAATCGGGTGAGATTGTCTGAATTTGTCTGAGCGATGTCTGAATTTTCTAACTAAAATTATTTGAACGAGCTTCTAAATGAACAAGTGTCACACGAGGCCAATTTTAATTTTGCAAAAATTTAAATTTTAATAAATGTTACCCATGGAAAACTCGATAAATACGAAGAGAAGGAAAAATCTTGCGATCCAAATTTAAGGCCATGTTTTTCAAACTCGCAGAAGATTCTGAGAAAATTGTAAGCAGCCGTTTGAATTAACTTGGTAAACAATGAATTGGATTTCCTTTTCTAAAAATATTTAAATTTATTAAAGTAGATCCAATATTTCGAACCTTGTCTAGCTCCTTCAATTTGTGGCGAAGTCTTTTTTTCATGCAATAAATCGGTTCCATATCAACAGTATATGGTGTTTTCTGAAAATCAATTTTTGCGCTGCCATTTTTTAAATGAATGATGCACTTGGTCCACTCGAAAATACTGATAAAGCTCGTTGGCCCAATCTTCGAGAATTTGCACTTCAACATCTGTTTTAAATAACGATCCGCAATCATTTAAAAACATTAAAACATCAGTCAAAGCTTCGTCAGCTAACAAGCACAATTTTTGAAATGGTGACATCATCGCGTGTCCAATTAACTGTAATCTGTCGTCGAGAAAAGCCTAAAAAATCCAGAGTAGCTGAAATTTTCCGAAAATTTTTCATATGGTATAGACAGAAATAAGGAAATGTCTAGAAACACTTACAAAAATTTTCTCATCTTTTATGATTTTTTTGAACATTTCATTAAAATCCTTTTTCGTGATTAAATTAAGAATTCCATTGGTACCAGGATCCGATCCTTAAAAATTTCAAAGTTTCAATGTTTTTATAATGGATTTTCAAGAAATCTATGTTTTTTTACGTAAAAAATGTAAAATATTACATAAAATGCGTTTACTACCCCGAATTGGAAATTAATTTTTTACATTTTTTATGATTAGATCCATAAGTCATTAGCAAAAATTACTTTTCAATTTTTTAAAATTCTTCTTGCCCTTTGAAAACTGTTCAATCAAATCGTTGACATCGCTGACGAATACATATTCACCAGAATCACGCTTTATTACGCGGATTACAAATTCTTTTGCTCGGCATAATCCCTAGTATGTTAATTTGAATGTAGAAATTTCAATGAAAATTTTACACTAAATATGAAGGTGATTTCGTTTTCAGTAACTGCTCGAATTTGTGTTTCAAATGCAATTCGGCTAGCGATTCCGTCTTCATACTCTTTAATAAGTATTTCAAGAACTTGCGGCGCACTGTATTCCTAGAATTGAACTATTTTACATATTTAATAAGGAACCCTACTTTTTACCTTTTGCAAAACTTCAACATGATGAAGGAACTGTTGTTTTCGTCTTTCATTCTCGTCGTTGTCAAAAATATCGACACACATTTGAACAATTTCTTCAATACTTTTATGTTTTAACTTATCACTAATTTTGACATCATTCTGAAATTATTAATTTCGACTTAATATTTCTTCGTTAATTACCTTTTCCAAAATGTCAGTGAATGAAAGACAAAACTCCTTCAAACATAACGAAAGGTATTTTACTTTTTTGCACTTTTGCTCGTAAAATTCTACACGACTTTTCAAGAAAATAAATCCATTTATCTGTAACATAAACGGTTGCTAATTGAATAGTTCAAATTCTACTATACCCTATGCGTCCGAGTTACAGAATATAGAATATAAAGAAGGTCATTGGAAGTAATTGGCGTTGGCGTATAAAGAGTATGAATCATAAACTAAATCAAACTCATCATTTTTAAATAATATTTCGAATGATATACAGTGCGCGTCATAATGATACGCCACCCCCCAAATTTTGCAGTTTTGAGAAAACCATATGAATTGGTGACAAGACAATTACATTTTCGAATTCAGGGCCATTGAAAACCTATACACGCGTATTTTCGTGAGGGTCCGTTGATCCGTATCCGCACAGCCCGAAAAAGTTGGATTTTCAAGCGCGTCATAATGATACGCCACCCCCTATTTTTTGTCTTTTCTTTCGGCATTTTTGCATGTTTCTCGCTGATTTTTCTGTATTTTGTATAATTTTTTTAACAATCTTATCTTTATATCCATTAAGCAATCGTCCGCTTTAGTTTTGGCTTGAAATCGGACCGAATTCGGATTACGTATTTACCCAAAATTTAAATTCCTTTTCATCGTTATTGATTAGTTCAATGAATGCTGGGAAAGACAAAAACATTAAAACTCTGGCGAAGAATACATCCAAATGCGAAAATCGTAAAGCTAAATTCAAAAAATAATCTTCTTCTAGTTGTTTTAAAACATACCAATGTTGCCTTTGTAAAACTTCTTGACGATATCACTTATTTCACCCGCGCCAAAAAATGGACCATCCATTTTGTTTAAAATCTCGTCGATTTCTTTCTGGTCCTAAAAAATTGAACATGTCTCGATGGAAAATTGACAATAATCATTACCAGTAATTCAGACGCAACTTCTGAAAAAGCGCGCTTAATCATTAAAGTAGGCCATCTACTATCATCGTTGAGTTTTCGGCCGAATTGAATTTCTGTATATCCTTTCAATTTCGCAGTCACCAATTCCTCAGCCGCTAACGGTAAATGCATGTTCACACACCAAAAAGTTTAAAAATTGAAAATCGAAAAATTTTAATTTAAATCTTTGAATTAATCCCAAAAATATCGACAAACTCCGTTATGTTAATAAAAATCTAATTAAAATCAGTTTCTAATAATTTGCAAATAGATAATGAAGAAGAATATAAGAAATTAAACGGCAAATTTTCGAAAATTGGGACATCTGTGATAATACGAAAACAAAAATTTGCTGAACCGATTACGGTAAATCGGTCGGTGTACTGCGTACTGGGGCAGTGCGACGAGATAAATATTTAAATTGCTTGTCGAAATTTATTTTAAGCAATTTTTGTCCGAAAAGAAGAACAACGAAACACATTTTTGCCGGAAAACAAACGATGAAAACACATTTTATTTTAACGTTTTTATAAAATATAATTTTACTTTCATGTTACCGTATTCCTTTCCATCGAAAGTATTTATTAAATAGCAAAATATATGCTCCTTTGAACGATTTTTCATTGGCAATATTCAAATTACCGCTTTTCCTTACAAGTATTTACTCTGCCAAATAAAATCAATTTTTATATAAAAGATTAAAACAAAACTTTATCATATTTCAGCGTACACGGTCAATTGTGACTTTCTTGAGTTTTCCATAACATTTATGGCAGACAAAATTGCTTGTAGTTGGTTTCGAGCATTGGTCGCACGAATTCTGAATACCGAATTGTTATACAAAATACAGTTTATATTAATTTACAAATTTAAGCAGTTGAGATTGTTCTCTTCGTTTTTGTGTTCTAAGCCAAATTGGTCGTGTAATACCGTAATCTAACGTTTTGACGAGTTCATACCTCGAGCGAACTGATATGGGTTCAAACTAAAATCGAAATATGTATTTTTCAAGGAGCATAGACATTTTGCTACACAGTCATCATCCGGGTTTGTCCCATCAACCTGTATCACCAAACAATCTGGACGATATTTAAGATTCATCCAAATTTCGCGCTTAACGAAGAGATCTCTAAAAACGAAAATACCTAGAATTGGGGATTAATTGCTCTTACATTCGAGGCTCATTCAGAATCGCTGAGGTTTTCGTCATTGCCTTATTTATTTTCTTTTTCATACATAAACTTTCGCGCAGCGACAATTCATCACACTTATTCAAGTCGAACAAATTTTTGGTGTCAAACGACGACGAAGTGCATCGACTTCTCGTCAACTTCGTGATAATCTGCTTCGATATTTTCAAATTCCTCTTCAAAGTCACAACATGTCGCTTGAGAATGTCAATCGTACGGTAGAGATGCAACAATTCGTTGTAATGGTTCTGGTTTTGCTCCTCATGTTCTTTCGATTCTTTTATGCTTCTCACAACAGATGCATCCAAACTGAAATTTCCCAGTTTTTTTAGGTCCAAGTCCCTCGTATTTCACCAATCGCGAAGGTCATCCACTTCTGAATCCTTTTTCTTAAATATTTTCTCATAGATATGAAGCCTGAATTAAACTACCATATTAATTATACAATTAAACGAGTCTTCGTTCGTCGTTCTTCTGCAATTTATATTAAAAGCGCATTCAAAAATTTTTTTGATTAAAAAGTGTTCATATTGTATAAAAATGAATACGGTAGTTTTCTTGCGCGCACAATTTTTTTCCAATTGTATTAAAACTACAATAATAAAAAATTTATATTCAGGTTGAACGCTGATTAAAAGTACGAAAATTTTTCGGTGTGTACCATATTCTTACAGTAATTCGGCTCAACCACTTTAAAAATCAAAAAAAAACTCGGACCTAGTGCTCATAAAATTGTTTTTTTTTTAGTAAATGCGTGGAACATGCGGATAATTTCAACCCCATGAATGTCCGCAGCTCGAATTGTAGATATTGGAATATTTATTTTTAATTTATTAATTTGCTTCGTCTATTTGCCTAATTTTGGTCATCCATAACATCTCAATATTCGAATCTCAAAAAACGATTGCTCTGGGTAGATTTTCGACAATTTTGAATAGCAGATTATCCGTAGCACGGTTGTAGCCGAATTCACACTGCTAAAAATACAACAAAAAATACGATGGTCCACAATTCCTTGGGGTGATAATTTTGGTAAAATTATTAATTTTGAGAAGAGAAAATATAACCAACACTTGCTTACAAAATCAGCTGTGCTTGATTTCCTGAAATTGATGATTATAAGATTATTTCAGTTTTGGAGTAGTTTTGGAAAAAAATAGCAATAAGAATTATCGTCACAGGAAATGTTTCAGAGCATCTTGAAAGAATTATTAAAATTGCAAACAGAATCAAAATAAAAAAATTAATTCATTTAATCCTTTTATGGTTTTTCAGAAGAATTTCCTAAAAAGCTTCTTGTTTGAAAAATTTTCCCTGTTCGAAATTTCTCAATAATTTCGTTTCCCCTGTGCATATGCCCATAAATTCTGTGTATTTTTTTCGAATTTCGAAATCTGATAGTTAACAACATAGTGGTTGCAGTAGTCGATGATCCTGTTCGCTCTATCAGTTACCGGTTTGGTCATTAATTTCGAGTGCACACACCAGAGGAAAAAAAATCGTCGGGAGAAAAATACTGGGAAAACGCGTCGGTTATACAGAGAGTAAGCCGATTGTGGTGATGATGATGATGATGATGAAACGTCGATTGTCGATATTTTTGAATAAATTTGTTCGCCGTCAATATTCAACAATGACTTCAATTCTTTTGTCGTTTCCACTGCGCCTCTCGTTCGAAAAATTGTTATCTTTCAGAAGAATTGAACGTCTGAAAAAATAAATAGAAACCCCCCGGTATTGATGCGTGTATGTATGTGTGTTTCTCCCGACCAAAAAGCCGCATATCTTCTCTCTCCTTTTTTTAGCACACAATTTGTTTGCTCAACAAAACGTATCAATTTTTTTTTGTTGCATTGCACTTACCATTTTTGGTGTGTTAACAAACTTTTCAATATTTTCTTCTGCAGGTAATTTCTATCTAGACAACCAGCTACAATTCTCTACTAAATGTCGGATTCGGGAGCGGCGCTTTCGCTACATGTAGGTCGTCAAAATTGTCCGCAGCATTAAATTATTAAACATTTCACATTATTGGGGGGCCGCGATTTATTGAAACTTTGTTATCAATTAATTTCTTATTTTAAATTTCAGGATCAAATTAAGCTAGCATCCGAATGGGGATACAACCAGGATGAAATAATTGCCGCTTTGAAAGCTAATACTAATGAACATTCAAAGGTAAACACCAAAAAGACCATGATTGATTCGATTCTGGTTCTCCCCTTTAAAAGCTTGTGCGATTACAATTGAATCAATCCACCATGACTTATCCGGCCATCTCGTTTTCTTATACCAACTCTCGAGGACGGACTAATTTAGGAAATGCGGCTTATCAATCAACTTTTAGCATTCTACTACATTTTCCATTTGAAATTCATTGAAGCTTACAGTAATTATCAATTGCGCAGAATAAAATATTTTAACGATTTTATAATTATTTTGGTAATTGACATCTTCCTTGAATTCACGATTTATTTTTCAGGAATTCGCTCGCTTTGAAAATTTTGATGTAATGCTAGATATTCTGAACCGCGTATCCGGCCGCCACAGTGGATCTCCATCGAAGAAAGGTCTTTCTCAACCCGGGTACCAATTGATTTCCATTTGCCACCCAATTTCTTTGTTCTTTATAGGGATATGATGTCGACGTCTGTCACTTCATTATACCCACCCAATGCCGCTCCATCGTCGATTCCGAGACGAAGTCTTTCAGTCGCAAGATCTTCATCGTTCCATTTAGCTACTCCGAGGTTTTCTCAAGGTTCGATATGATCCAATGAATTTGATCATTCAGAAGTACTCGCGATTCTCATGATATCGTTCGATTACTATCAACATTGGAAAAAGAGAAAGAGCGAGATCGGAAGGAGGTCGAAAGCCAATTTGCCATATTAAAAGTATTTATTCGAAAAATGAAAAAAAAAAACCTTAAAAGGCGTTTTGTCGTATTTTCAGAATCGCATAACCCATTTGGAGTCGGAAAAGGAAGTGTATCTTCACGAGATTCAACACCTCAAGTCAACTCTTGAATCGCAAGATCGCGAATTGAAAGAATGCCGAGAAGAAGTGGCACGGCTGAATGAAGAGAAGACCGAGACAGCAGAGACACTCGATAAATTGGTATTCATTACGAGCCAATACTCATTTGATGCCCATTTTTAGACGATTCAGAATTTTCGACAACAACAGGAAATTCATGATCAAAAGGAGCTGGCTGAACATCGTCGCAAAACCTATGTCGATGAGAAAATGAAAAGAGATGAGGTTGGAATTCTAGTCGAATTTCTCGAATTCACATGTGAATCATCTTTTGAGAATCAGTCAACTGAGTCTTTCAGCGTTTTTTTGCAACATGTGAACAAGTTCTAGAAAAAAAAGGATTTTTTTTTTTGCGTAGAAATACAAACCATTTTAGGAAATTTTGAACCTTCAAAAGCAAATCAACGAACTTGAAACGGAATTAGAGCAGAAGTCGACACTATTAGAAACTCAAATTGAGAATTCGAAACGTCTCGAAGAGCAGAGCTATCAATTGGTATCAAAAATCCACTAATTTGATAAAAATAATTTTTAAAGCAACCTTTACTTCTTCTTGACGATCTGACGAAGAAACAGAGTCAGCTGATCGACATTACCGCCAAGGTTGTGCCGAGTATGGAAGAGATCCAGAAGCTATATAAGGAATTCGTATGATTGAAATATAACACCAATGATGCTAAGTATGGTTGTTCAGTTCAACACCTATCCACAAATGGAGGAGAACTTTCGGAAAGAGCGAGATCAGAATCGGAGACGCTTGATGGATTTTGAGGAGAAGTTGAACTCGAAGAATCGCGATTATCAACGATTACAGGAGAAGTGTGTCACCGAATGTTGTATTTGTCTGAATGCGAAGGTAAGGACTACTAGAATTCCTGTTCAATATTCTCTTTCAGCCCTCGATCGTTTTCCTCCCATGCCGCCATTTGATATCGTGCGCCGATTGCTATTCAACATCGGACCTCGGCGAATGTCCGACATGTCGCTGCAAAATCGATAACTCGATCACCGTATTCATTTGAACGCCGCGTCGGTCGACGCCAAAAAATAAGCCACCATCACAACAATAAAAATGCTAATAAAATGATAAATTCGTTTCACAAAATATTTCGAGAAATTCGAACGATCCTCTTGACATTGAAAGATTGCTAAAAAAAATACTCGAATTCCACCTTATTACACAAAATCATTTTTAGAATACAATATAATATGTGCTATCGGTTCGAGATCTCTGAACGTAACCAAAAAAGGATCAAAATATAAATTTTTCTTCTCCGATGTTACAGAACTATGTATCTTTTAGAATTTAAAAAATTCACGTTAAAATTCGAAAATCGAGTGTTGCTAATATCGCATTGTGTTCGATACGGTTGGTAACTAAACGTAAGTCATCTTTTGGTAGGCTTCGGTCTAGAATAGGAAATATCGTCGAAAGCTCAACAAATTGAGCGACGCTCTATTAACCAAGTGTTCGACTTGGTTCAATTGCTCTCTCATCACAACTAACGTCGCCGTCAGCTCTCTGGGATCAGCACGGCAAAGAAACGAATTCCAGGTTTCCTACAACAAACCACCGATTGCCCCGATCCATCCCATTTGTATATATAGCGTATTTTGTTTAATAAATACATAACTTTTAATATTCGTTGCGTTCTGTTGGATCATCGAAGTGTGGAAGCCAAAAAAAAAGTTAAACAAGATGATAATATCGATGGAATTTTACATAAATCTAGTGTGTGAACATTTATTTTTCTGTTTTCGTGTGAACGGTTCATTTTTTCTCTACCCTCGTGCAGAAATCGCCCGATGATAATAAAAAATTAACTTAATGGTACTATGCAGATTGCGCAACCAAAAAAATACCTTTTTTCAGTTTTCGAGTACTCTTCCAAAAATCTGTAGAGCCCCTTTATTGAAGATCGAACTCACAAGCTTTTTTTTAGCTAGTTTCAAATCGATTCTTTCATCTCAAATCTAACCTATTTTTGTAGGAAAAAATTTAAAAAAAAACTTTTCAGTTTAATTTTCTATGCACACATGACAATAAATACAAAACCTTGGTGCTATCGTATAATTTTGAGAAATTTTTTTCAAAGGCGCATCAAAAATGTTTCTCGGGTCGCCTCGCAATTGCGCTACTTTCATTTTTTATTTCAGTATTATTTTTTTCGTTGAAAAAGAGTTTTGAAGAAAACAACCATAAAAACTTCCATTGCGATGTGAGCCGCGAAATTTTGGCGCCTTTGAAAAGACACTATCGGAAACTACAGTACTGGCCATAATGATGTTCGCCTAGTGTTTTTTGAGCATAACTTGGCACAAACGCGGCCGATTGGGCTGAAATTTTTACTGTAAACGCTAAACACAGTTGCGCAACCTTGGAAACGACAAAATTGCATCATCTTGAAAAATTAACTTTTTTTCCAATTTTTTTGTTTTTTTCGATTTTACCAATTTTTCATTTTTTTCAAACTTTGTCCATAAAATTTTTTTTATTTGAAATTTGAACTTGAAACATGTTTTTAGTAATTTTTCAACCTTCTGGAGAGAAAAATTTCAGGGCGGACGTTCAAAAAGCGATCGTCAACGGTCATAAGGCTAGGTCATCCAGAAGCTCTCTGGTTCAGCAATTCCTGTGCTCCCGAAGAGGAATCCAAAAAGTTTTGCAACGATTAAGACAAAATTTACGATTTGTTATTCGTTGTGGACTATTTCTAATCTATACGGCTGCATTTTTGTTAAGAAATCACATGGTAGACCTTGCAAAATCACTAGGCCCAAGATCGGAACATCTGCCGTGCTTCAAGAGAAGATCCTAGACGGACTTCAGCAGATATCCAGATTCTTGTGGCAACGCCAAATGCTTCAATGCCATCCAGAAGAACAATTAGACGTCGTTTGGGGGAGAATGGACTTCATGGAAGACGCCCGGTGAAGAAACCATTGATCAGTGAGAAGAATCAAAAGACGAGGGTGGCATGGTGCAAGGATCATCTGAACTGGGACGATGTGAATGGGCCCAACACATCTGGAGCGATGAATCGAAGTTCAACTTGTTCGGAACTGATGGAATCAAGAGGATTCGTCGACCTATTGAAGCCAGATTCATGGCAAAGTACCACCTCCGAACGGTGAAGCATCTTGCAGGGTCTGGGACTGCTTCTCCGACACCGTCATGAGACCGCTCCGACGTGTAAATGGAATCATGGATCGGTACCAGTACAAGGATGTCCTGGAAACCACAATGAGGCCTTGGGCATTTTCAAACGTCGGACGTGCATTCGTTTTCCAGCAAGACAACGACCCTGAGCGCATGTCTGGACATGTAAAGATTTGGTTCCAGCGACGCCGACTTGATATTCTTGCATGGCCATCGCAGATTCCGGACCATAATCCGATTGAACATCTCTGGGAAGAACTGGTACGCATGGTTAGAGGACTCCGAACATCAAACGCCGACGAGAAATTCGCTCAACTCGAAGCCGCATGGAGTGCTATTCCGATGCAGTGATCTGCACCCTCTTGGACTCGATGCCTCGCAGATGCCAAGGGTTATTGATGCCAAGGGATACGCAATAAAGTATTGATAAATTAAAAATTGGTTTTCTACAAATTTGCAATGTTTTCGGGTTTCTGAGACTTTCAAATCACATTGTGTCATTTTTTCCATTTTCTGCATTTTTATGAAATTTCTGATTTTTCGAAAAAAAAAACTTTCCTGCAGTATGCGATATCATTCAAACGCATTTTCAACGCGTTTTAAAGATATGCTAAAAATTTCAGCCCAATCGGCCGCGTTTGAGCCAAGTTATGCTCAAAAAACACTAGGCGAACATCATTATGGCCAGTACTGTATGTACATACGATACTTTTTTTTGAATTTTTCGACATCACCCTTTTTTTTTTATTTTATGATTGTTCATTTTCGACGCCTCGCATCTCGTCACTTCTATTCATTTTTGTATCATATAGTCTGTTATCGATTTTCGCAAAATCAAAAAAAAAGGACACGCCGAATATTAATGTTTTCTTTGCGTCGGCCTCAATCAATTTCCCATATTCGGCAATACCATTTCATTTTTTATAACGTCATATACGTTTGTAGTAGTATTCCTTCTAACAGTTACACAAGAACTATGTATGTTAAAGATTTGACAAATTCATGAAACTAAAAAAAGTGTAGAAAAACGTAGTGCACGAATTTAAATAAATTTTTATTTCAAGATAATTATGATACAGCGGGCGAATTAGGAAGGAAAAATTTTTGGAAAACCCTGGATTGAAGAACGAGTGATAAAATGAGAGAGTCGAGTTGTTCCTATCACGTCGTCGCGATGTCTATTTTAATTTTGTAATGTCTGGAACAAAAAGATTGAGTGGTTCCGAAGAATTGAGAGTCATCCTAATGAATGCCATAATATTCCATTAAAAATATGTACATTTGTATTCTTCGAATTCAAATCAAATGCAGTTTTGAGTGATCCATTCAATTGCTCATTAGATTTTACAATTAAGAAATGTTCATTCGTTTTTCCACTTCTCATTTCATTTGAGATATCGATATTCGCAAAAATAAAACAGAATCGCCAACAAGGCAAATGTTAATGTTTTTCTGCGTCGCTCTCAATCATTTTCCCATATTCGTCAATATCATCCCATTATTTTAAATAACATGTCTCACTTTCTCTCGATTTCATCACAATTTCGACTACTGATAAATTCTGAGCTGACTAATTTATTAATAATCTTCGTTAACTATTCAGCACTGATTAACTAATTATACATAATAGACCAATTATGAGCTAAAAGGATTATATTAGAGCGATCTCTTTCAAAGTCCATCCAATTCTCACCAACAATGATTCTCACATCTCTTCTCTTATTCCTTGCTAGGTCTGTTCAAGTCTTCAATTAGCCAACTTTTTATTATTGAATGCTATTTAAGAAAATGAAAAAAAAAAAGAATTGACGACATAATTTTTGGCTTCCAAATGTAATATTTGATTTGATAATTTTTTGCTGCGACAGTCTCGTTTCGTCTCAAGAGCCTAAATGATATTTCCGCATTCAATTCCCACATCTAAATTCGCATTATTATTATTGTTCACATCGGTCTTTTCAGTGCTGGTGGTGTTGATGCGCAGGTGTGAAAATGGACTAGCGGTGTTGGTGTTGGTGGTGGTTATGGTGACCCCAAGCCAAGGGTGCTAATTTTCGTTGCCAATAATCCACCCCGAGCACCGTCACCAAATATCTAATACTCTTTCATAGTCGTTTTCTTATTTCATTCAATTTCATTTATGCCGTTCTCAATAATTGTCCATATCCAAATTTCGAAGTTCAGGTCAATGCAAAAGGAAAACTCAAATATGGTGCCATTGCGAGAAATGTGGACAAACTCGCCGAATACCCGCAACAGAGCTATCGTCCTCGTCTCAGCCCAAGATGCAGGTGCATCGAATATCTCAACTCGAATCCCCCTAGAATCGTTTGTTTTTTTTTTCAGATGAGCAGTTGATGGTCAACGAGATTCATTTAACCGTATTTGTCATGCTGTTTGTTGTGTTCTGCGTCATCTGCTTCATCATGTATTTTCTCGATCGCTACAATCTCACCGGATCCACCTTCTTCCAATCAACAGGTCACGACACAAGACGTCCGGATACACCGATCCCACTTCAGGAACTCAAAGGTTCGACTCAATTCGGGTGTCTTCAAATAATTCGCTGGTTTTCAGCCCCACCAGTCAGCTATCACGCGCCACCGCCATACACCGAGATGCCCGTCTAATAATCAAAAAATATTATAATTTTCGGTTCCGCTTTGTTTTTGCATTTGATCGTTGATGATTTATTGTTACACACACGCACTGCCGCCTCGCAGAAATGAGTTCATGCTCGTCCACCGCCATTCATTCGTTATCAATTTTTCACATCTCCCAATCCAATCCAATCCACCGATTGCGCTCAAGATACACTTGACGAACGTTGTCGTATCGATTAAACAACCCTCAATCGTTCTCTTCGTGTGTTTTTTTTTGCTAAAAAAATAAAAGTATTTTATTATGTAATAAAATCAAATATTTCTGTTTCTATATGATTCTTTTGTGGATTCTGTTGATTTTCAAAAAAATAAATCGATGTGCATTTCTATCAAATCATCAAACAGGCACCTCTCAAAAAGAAATCATTGTGATTGATTGATGAGAAACGTTGTTTAAATGTGTTTTCTCTCATTTTTTGTTGGTTCAAAAAATTCTCTATTTATTTTTTGTTTCACAACCATTCAATTTCAGATGCTGAATTCGATTCTATGCTTATCGACATTGCTGATATTCCGAGTCACTGCAGGTATTCCTATTGATTCTCTATACATTTCGTGGTCTCTCGGTGATCTTTCGAACAATGAGGGGGAGGGGGTGAAACTCATTGTCGAAGAATTGAAAAAAAAAACATTTAATTATTTTCTTCTCTGAAAAAGCCCATAAATTACCGAGAATTCGTTCAGTTAGCATGCCCGGTCGGTGTTTGGAGCCGCTTCATCGCGGAATCGACGAATGCACAAATTCGTCGACGATACGTGTTAGTTGCACATTCGACTTGTTTGCTCATCACGGCGCAAACTCAATTTCAGTACTGGATGGACGGCAGCACCGAACATTGTCTCGCGTTCAATTACACGGGTTGCGGCGGGAATCGCAACAATTTCGAGACATATCGCCAGTGTCGAAACTGTTTGCCACGTGCGCTCATTTTATGCCAACCATTTGTTTTTTATTTTTCGTGCCATCCATTTGATTTTCATATTTTGCCATATCAAACTATGATTGTTTTCAGTGGATTATATTAGCTGCCCATTGGCTTCGGGCAAAATTAAAAGCTCCGATGGTTCGGTGACCTGTGGGAAACGGAAAAGGCGAGGAGCAAGAGATCCTGAGCCAGAGGTTTGTTTCGTTTTTTTTTGTAATATATTTTGGCGAATTTTAAAAAATTACACATAAATGTGTCCTCAGCATGAAACTGCATTTTTTCATTCTGGAATAATTTTTTTAAGCCAAAAAATTTTTCTCATTTTTTTTATTCAATATGAAAAATATCAGTTTTAGACTAAATTTTATTTGAAAAGTTTTTGTTAGCAAAACTTGAATGCCCGCTCAAAAAACGAATGCTCAGTTTCCTAATATTTGAGAGTTTTCGCGACAAGAACCTGATTTTCAAAAACCAGTTCGCGCCTCAATATTTAACTATTCCATAGAATTACACAGTATTTTCAGCATGTTTGCGATGGTCCCAACAGCTATTGTGCTCAAGGCGCATTTTTCGGAGTTTGCTGCGATAAATCGATCAGAGGTTTGACAGAAGATTCAAGGTGCAAAATCAAGCCGAAATAGCCGTTTCAGAAAAATTAAATAATGACTATGAGCCGACGATCGACTGCGGGCCGAATCGCCAAAAATATCAAGTGCAAGAAAGAGATTATAATGTAAAATTTGTATTTATTTAGGGGGCAATGCAAAGAACATAAAAAAAATTAAAAATTCAGACAACATTTAAATACAGAAAAATGTTTAAAAAATCATTTTTAGCTTTTTTTAAAATTTTTTTCGAAATGTTGCCTTTTAAAAATTCTCTCTACATTGTCCCTTTATGAAATAAAAAAAACTCAGAAATTCCAGAGAACTCTGTTCGGAAAATCATGCGATGCGAATTTCTGTCCTACCGGAAGTAAATGCCAACAAGGAAATTTCTTCGCATTCTGCTGCATTTGACATAATAAAAAAAAAACGAAAATGATTGTCTCACGGGTTATTTCAAATCAAAAATATGCAATCGCATTCAAAAAAATATTCATATTTCAGGTTGTTTTAATCAAATTCCTAATATCCAATTTTTCCGGTGTGATGAAAAAAAAATACGCTGCCAATTATACAAATGGTGAGAATTTTCGAAAAATCCTCTGCGAAATGCCAACTTTCAGAATGTTGACTCCAACCGGCATTTTTAAACAACATTTTCTAATTGTTTTAAAATTTCCCATAAAGTTTTAACCAACATTTTTCCTTCTCAATTATAATTTTGATTATAGGCTTTTGATTCTGCCTTGAATACTTATAATAATTTCTCATTCTGAATTACAGACAGACTTTCAGATAGTGATCATGTCAAAACTAATAATTCTATTATATTTCGTCGGCTTCTCATTGTCAATTGATTTTCGCGATGAATGCACTCTTCCTATCCATTTCGGGTTGACAGATTGCAATAATCAATCGTCGATTCGGGTGATTCTCAAAGCAACTTCACACTTTCTTCATGTGCAATTATTTCAGTATCATCTGAATCCTGCAACCGCCGATTGTCTCGCTTTCAAATATTCAGGATGTGGCGGCAACGCGAACAATTTTGAAACTCAGGCCGATTGCCAAATGAATTGCATTCCAAGTATGAGCATGATTAGTAAACCATTATTATTTGCGAGATTTAGTGGATTATTTCAAATGTCCAGGAGACTCAAAAGTTGTCCCGAATAAGGATAAAACATCTTATTGTACAGCTGAAAAGGTATTATTTATTTTCGACTTATAGCTTCGCTTATAAATTTCGTTGATTTTAGGAATGCGATGGGCCAAATTCGTATTGCAGCATGGGAGCATTTAGCGGACTTTGCTGCGATAATGCAGCTAGAGGTATATTTTCTTAAATATTTTGGATCCTTTGAAATATCTAAATATTAAGATAAATCAAATCAAGATTATGCTGATGAGTGTGGTCCGAATCAGACAAAATATAAGGTCGACAGAGGGGGATACGAATCGATATTGTTCGGAAAGACATGCGATTCCAACTTTTGCCCAGATGGATACCAATGTCAGCAGGGAAATTATTATGCCTACTGCTGCAAATAGCTGTGTATGAGTGCAATAAATGATTTATTTTTACAAATATTCAAGATTTTAATCATTTCAAAAATCAATTTTCGCTCGACATCGTTGATCTAGTCGAATTTTCTTATCAAGGGGGTGAAACAGTCGTCGTCGGATGATGTCGGTCGAATGAAATTCCGTGCGAATTCGTCTTCACATCCGTTGATTTGAACACAAACATGACGGCGATTATGGATTCGACGAATCTTCCGAAGCATTTGATTGCACTTAGATAGGCAGCAATGTTCTCAAAATTGCTATTATTAATTTTTTTTCTGATGAAATTCTTTGAAACCTTGATTTGAATTGATAAGACTGGAACTAAGGCGACTATTAGGAATGGAATTGTGTCGACAATGAAGATGATTGAAGCGTCGACAACACATAGGTAATTCGCCTGGGATAATTATCAAATCTAGGCTTGTAAAAAATGGCGGGCGACCTTTTTTTGAGGTCATGTTTATGGCCGGCCGGTCTTGATTTTAATTGCCGCAAAAAAGGAAAAACAATGAGTGACATTTCGGTATCTTTTGGGGAAATGCGAAAAAAAAGAAAAAAAAGAATAGAATATTGGTTTTGGTGGATTTGCATCGAGAACCATCGCATAAATAAACAGCTTAAAATACCGTAAACCGAAGCATTTCATTAAAATTAAGTAAAATTCCTAAAGATAAAGCAGCATGACGCAGAGATACTGTATTTTAAGACGCATGCCGTTTATTTATGCGATGGGTCTCAAGGCGAATCCATCAAAAACACGCGCATCTTCGATTCTTCTTTTTAAAATTTTTCTACCCTCTTAGAGATATACAATTTTTTCTTCATTTTAATTTTTTATATTACATTCGCAAAAAAACGAGCGCCCTGCGCCGATTTACTGTGAGTTTGATTCGCAGGTTACGGTAGCCGAATTTGCAGTGTTTAAACTCGAATTTGAATTACCGCCTTGAAAAAGCGCGATGGTCCACAATTATGCAAAGCGCTTGTTTTTTGCGATCCGAGAATAACTAAAATCAAATCTTATGTATATTTGAATTGCCGGCAAAACGCGGCCGACCGCGTTTTTCACAAAGATGGTTAAATCTCTGTCAGGAAATGAACTCTCGCTCACCCTTTTTAAATCGCTACTCAAATGCTTGTGATTGATTATTTTGAATGCAATTATTCCGGATAACACAGCGGATGCTAGGGCAACCATCTAAGAATAACTCGTCTGATTCGATAGATTAATTGACCAATTACCGCTTCACTAATAAAAAATTATGATTTATAGGTGGCCGGAACAATTTCGAACATTCCAATAAACTTTGGCATTTGATCTGTTGTGAATCCGAGGATAACGAACAAAACGATATAATCACAGAGACCAAATAAAAACGATAAATCGACTGCAATTAAATGTGGAATTTTGCTGGTATTATGATAATACCAAAATGGTAATGATAATGCCTAAAATAGTAATATTTAGATGATGAATAATTAATAAATTGAACAATCATGCGCTCAGTGCATATGCACAATTCCAAAAAGGTTCTTGATGAGTTAATGGATGATGTGAAGAAGGACATGTGGAAAGTGAAGTGGAAATTGATCGCCAGTTCGAGAACTTCCAGTGCGATAATGCTTCCATATGAAAACAGGACTGAAAACGAGAATCACATCGTGGTTTAGGCAGGAGACAACCTACCGAAGAACGAAAAAAATGCATCGAGAACGAACATGACAATGAACAAATAAAAGTCTCGAAGTCGACGAACTCTGAAATCACTCGAATGTCGGCAGCAATTATTTCTTCATACAAAAAAAATATAGCTTGGTGCCAAATTAGACCAATGCGGCTTTTCCTACCTGATTGCGTCGGTTTAATCAATGATTAAAAATATCTTATCTGTCAGTTACAACCGGATTAGATATGAGTCGAATTTTTGGATCATTAAAATTTTGTTTTTTTGCGCTATTGGCCCCAAAATGCAACATATTCATTGCTCGCAAATATTATTTTCTATTATTCTTTATTTTGAAAATGATCGGAGAAGATTTCAGATAAAAAATATTTATAGTTTCTAAGAAATTCAGAAAGCTGTGCCGATTTAGTTAATTTCCACTGATTACATTTGAATTTTTACTATCCAAAGAAAACGATGGTCCCAAATTGTTGCTCGTTTTTTTGCAGTGGTAAAACAATAAAACATCATTTAGTCAATCTCAAAGGCCAAATTCGAATGGTGTTGTTATTATTCAATTCGTGGAAAACTTAAAGATTTTCTTAATTTAGGGCCATTTCAAATTTCCAACAAACTTGTTAAATTTCGTCAATTTTTGTTAGCAAAATGGAAGATGATTTCTTATAGAGTTCTGCTGAAAAGTTGCAGAAACATTTTCTAAAATATTGCTATTAAATTATGGAATTTTTTTTTAGCAAACCTTGAGCAATTTCTTAGAAAACTTGCTACAAACTATTTAGAAGTTGTATTTTTTTCTCATCCGAGATGCTAAAACATGGACTTTTTGAAAAAAAAAAAAGATTTGAACTTTGAAAGCATAAGAAGCACACGCACTATGAGACGTGAATCACAGCACTCCAAAATTTTCAGTTTCAAAGAAAAATGCAAAAATACAACAGTTTGTCCTTTTTTTACCTTAAAATCTTCCGAATAAGAAAATACGCAGAAGTGAGATGCAAAAATGAAATGATGATTCCACAAAAACATATAATCAATTGCGGATGAATCATTGATCAATTTTAATGTTGGAAAATGATCGCTGAAATTTCACTGAAACACACAAACAATATTAGTTCTCTGAAAACGAAAGAAGCGGTTTTATTCAACTGAGAATAAGTGACTAGAAAATATTTGAATGAATCAGATATTTGGCGGAGTACACGTAGCGACGAAAGTTCTCTGGTTTGTTGTGGGAAATTTTCAAACGGTTGTTATTCGCTTCGATTGTGGTCTCGGATCGCAGTTGATCACATTCGTCCGTGGTTTGATAATGAATTTCAGAGCTAGTAGAGATTCTGCAAATCGGCCAAAGTTTTTCAAGAATGCTATATAAGCTCCAGCGTTCTGGAAAAAATTGCAATTGATTGCATTTCATTCGAATGATTTTACCACGGTTGAAATCGTTAGGTCTCGCTTCAAAAATATCAGAAATAATGGTCCGCTGTCGACAAGAATAATGATGATAGTGTCGACAATGCACAATACGCTCGCCTCAAAGTCTTGTTTCTTAAAAATGCACATTTCGAGGAAATAATGGCTCACTGCGAATTTTGAGAAAAAAAGTCGAAAAACCCCAAATATATGGCTTTTTTGTGCAATTTTAGTAGGGTTTTTTGAGTTTTTTTTTATTATTATTTTTTTCACAAAGAAATTATTTCTACCCGTGTAAATTGTGCGAATTGTTTCCTATGAATGTATAATTTTAACGCAATAATCGCAGAGAACATTGTTGACAGAGCTGATAGAAGCTGAATTCATTTATATAATTTTTGTGCTCTTCAAAAAATTCTTACGAATTCGGTTTCAAACCAATAATTTCGAAAGCAGAGGTTTACTGCTAGAAAAATTCCTGACCATTCCTGAATTGAGGAGTTTTCGAAACCACAGATTGGATATAAAACGACATAGTCGAACAGACCGAAGCATATTGAGAGTAATAGAGCGAAGATATGCGGTTTTGTGGTATGGCTTTTGTAGTAAAACAATGGGTAGAACAATGCCTAGGAAATTGAATTTTTGGAAAATTGGAAATCGTTTTGGAAAAATTCTTTTTGAAACATTTCCACTAAATGTGTGATGTGATTGTCTTCATTTTTATCAATTCTTTAACATTTTTTTTCTTCGAGTATTTCAATACTGTATTGTCTTAGTCAAATGATAATTAAGGTGGTGAGAAATTCAAGTCAGAGTAGATTTAAGAATGTGTTAATTTTGCATTAAATGAATAAATGCGCGTACGTTGAAATGCAGAATACGCTGACACGCAGAATACACTTGGCATTGCAATTGTTAGTTTCGTTCAATTCATATTGTCGATGACAGACGACTTCTCAGAGGTTGAGGGCGCGCAAAAATTTAGCTTAATAAGCAATTTGGTAATTCACTATTTGGCTGCGTATCGAACTCGGCAAAACCTTGCAAATTTTGGGCAACTCTCTTATATAGTTTCTGAACAAACCGAGTTGGAAAGACCGCTCAAAAATTGATAGGTTTTTTTTTTCGGAGGAACATTTTGACACAAACAGAGGAAAAAAATGGATTAGTTGAAACAAAAGTCGCCCACGGTTTATACGGTAAATTGAGGGCGATGTGAAATTGGAGTGTCGTAGCGATAGTGTAAAAAAGATTTGGGACAAACCGCAAAAGTTTTTGGGAACCCCCGTGGAACACCGATGTTTAAACCAAAACCAACCACGTTTCGAACTTTTCGAATCGCTGAAAAGTTGTTGTCAAAATCACGCCGCTTTGGAAAGTTGGCTAGAGGTTAAAAAATTCGAAAAGAGGTCTCGGTGCGCGCATTTAACTTGTTCTTATACATAGAACCGTAAATTTTCACTTATAGTGAGTCAAATATTCAAAAATTAAAGTGTAACCATGCAAAAATTCGTTTTTTTCCTCGTCAAAAATTCAAACCGAAAAAAACGTCCGACAGTTTCCGACAGTTGTCTCTGACTTTGACAACACCAAAAAAGTATTGTTGAAAAATGACAAATGTATCCAGGTGTCGTAGGATCCTGCGTTTTGTACGCAATGCCAAGAGACAGTTACCGTAATCCTCGCAGCGATTTACGGGGACATTTTATTTAATTTCGCATATTCATTTTTTTATTTTTCGTTCAATTTTTTAATTTTCTTTCGAAATTTTTTAAATTAAATTTTTAAATTTTGCAGAAACCGAGTTTAATAATGTATTTAGCAGAATAAGCACTTTTAAACGACATTTTTTTTGGTAAAAACACCAGAGATTAAAAAGAAATCATTTTTGTCGTTAATAAAATTATTTAATCGTGTTTTGCTTTTTGTATGCGTTTCTATTATCTTGTTTTTGTATTCTTCATTTTCAAAATAATTTTTAGAGCGTCAAAATCTTCACAATAATTCCCAACGCAACTAGACAAATGGAAAAGTGCATATTCTGAAAAATAAATAATTAAACTCGGTTTCTACAGGTTTTAAATATAAGATTTCTAAAGAAAATTAGAAAATTCAGCAAAAAAAATTGAAAGAAAATTAAAAAAAAATCTCCGTAAATCGCTGCGAGGATTACGGTAACTGTCTCTTAGCATTGCGTACAAAACGCAGGATCCCACGACACCTAGATACATTTGTCATTTCTCAACAATATTTTAAATGTTTTTGGAGTTTTCCTCGAGAAAATTGTTAGTAAAAGACTTGCTATAATCCGTTCAATTGCAATCGTAATTTGAATAAAACATCGACTATTATGAACGGAAGATAGGAAAAATGTGACGAAAAATACAATTTTTGGATTGAATTCAAATTGGAAGATATATAATGCCAAAATGCTTGCATAGGAAAAAATGACTGAAAATATATCGATCAAAAAGATGATGGCTGTAAATTCGAGGAACTAATTGTCCTAAAACTGCAGTCAGTCGTATACAAATTTAACGATAAATAAGTAAAAATCTCGAACATCTCGACTTCTGTAATAAAATGAAAATAGAAATATGTTTTATCGCATTGAAATTGGTGCAGATTACCTGAGAATCCTGTTAATTAAATAATATGAAGATATTAGATAAGCAATCGATATTGATGCTCCAATTATCGAAAAAATCGCCGGCAACATTGAATTTCTTGAAAATCAGAATTGTAGGATTTCACATTGTACAAATCAAATATGAATGGTGGCACAAAAAAAGAAAAATAAATAAGAATTAAATTGAGTCATTGAAAAAAGTTAATAAATGAAATTATTGAAAAATTTCTGAATTTCTTCGATATTATCTACGTATAATAGAAAAAATCTCGTTTTAGAATGACAACCTCCTTATTTCATCCGAAATAACACAGAAATGACATTTTAAAAAATTTGAAGTTTACTCTGCGAATGTTTTCGTTTTTAAAGTTTTTTTTCAGTCAATTCGTTAAAAAAAATTCAGAACAGATCCGCTATAAAATTGCAGGTTTCATGCTGGAAAAAAGTGTGTTCTCGTAAGCCTGTTATTCACAAAATTCTTTAAATATATATTTTATCCTAAAAGGTTACTGTTGAAAAACAGACAAGATTTTTAAATAATTTAGAAAATTTAGTTCGATATCTTCGCACGAACCAATATTTCGAGAATTTTTAAATGTTTTTCGCTTCATATCGGGTCGATTCCTGAGCCGAAATCTTTTGTTCAAAAAATTCTCATCGAACTGGTTTTCAGTTGCCAAAGATTTATGGCATACTTTTCTAATTCCTGTAAGGTCTTCATATTTTTCACGGCTTTCAGATAAATTTAAATTGTCAAAAAATCGAATCTCGAAAAATAAGACCACGGAACCATTCAGGTGAGCATGTTCCGTCGTTATTCCGTTTCCGATTCAAAAATTCAAAAATTTTCAAACATAAATTTTTGTTGGCTTTACTATTTTTTTAACACTCGTTTGGTAAAATTGACGCCTCGTTGGAAGTATTAAAAAACTATATTCGAATTGCCGCCGGAAAAAAGCCGGCCACGGACATATGCGACACGATGTAGACAGAAAATTGAGGATAATTAGTTTCAAACACTCTAATTCTACGTATCATATAATTATTCGACGTGTTTTTATATGACTTATTCATTGAACCAAAACGATCAAGTCCAAAAAAAATGGTGTGAATTGTCTGAACAAAAACAAACAATTTTGATGGATCTACTATTTTTTCAATTATTATTTATTATCATCGCAAAAAAAAAATCTAACCTTGAATAATTGTGGACCATCGCATTTTTCGAAGCGGTAATTCAAATTTCAATTTGAACAGTAGAAATTAAGGTATCGTACTACGGAAAACTTGAGAATCAAATCACCCGTTTTTTTTCGATTGTTTTATGCGGATTTCGCAAAAAGCTCAAAAAATCGGTTAAAATTCTCTTTTATTCTGCAGATTACAGAAAAACAAACACCAAAACCATGGCCGTGGCCAGGTTTTTCGAGTCTACAGTGTCACAGTTTTTATTAAATCGCTGAAAGAATCATGACATTTTAGGGTGTGCGCCTTTAACCGTTTTTCGCTTACGGTTCCAATTTTTTCAATTGTTTTTATAGGCGCATATGCAATTTTTTCTAATGATTCTTGCTATTTTATAAAAATTGTGGTACTAAGGCTTCGAAAAACCTGAAAGTAGCTAAATTTTCGAAAACTTAAAAAAACCATGTTAAAAATAGAATAAAAAACAATGTACTTTATTATAAAAATTTCCGAAGCTCTTTTTTCCTTCAAAATCAGAATAACAGAATAAAAATGAAAATAAACAGTATTCGAACACACTTTGAGCGATATTAGAAGAGTAATTTTTAAATAAATTTCTTTTCAGAGTTCTCGGAATTCCGTTTGTGTTTCAGCCGTCAGCTGAAAAAAAAATTGCTTCCGTAGAAAAAAAAACACACAAAAATGTTGGACCTATTCAAGCAATGAAAAAAATTAAAATAAAAAAAATCAATTTTTTTCATTTGAATTTCCTATGCACGCGCGTCGAAAATTACAAAAAAAATGACGCGATATATCGTAATTCTCCGCTATTTATTTTTAAAGACGCATGCGAAAAGTTGCGCGGGTCACAAATTTTTGTCATTTATATGCCAATTATTATGAAAATTTTGACATTTGTGTTAGTTTGATGCAGACTTCGCTCTATGCCGCTTCCAATGAACCTTTAGTGTTGATTAAACAATATACTTTTACTGATTTCTAAAAGAAAACGTTTTAAACGCTCAAAAAATAAAAAATTCGAAAAAAAACGGCGATTAAAAAATTACAATACCGACTTCGCTACGTGACCCGCGCAACTTTTCGCATGCGCCTTTAAAAATAAATAGCGGAGAATTACGATATATCGCGTCAATTTTTAGTAATTTTCGACGTGCGTGCATAGGAAATTCAAATGAAAAAACTTGTTTTTTTTTTATTTTTTCATTGCATGAATAGGTCCATGTCCGCCCGGTCGCAAAATTAAAAAAAACGAGTGCTTTTATTAATTATAGAAAATTGTATTTGGGTGGCGGTAATTCAACTTGAAAATTTT